ACTGGTGTGGTGGTGGTGGTCCAGTCACCCCAAGCAGGTGTGGTGGTGGTTGTGGTGCTGGGCTTGACTGTTGTGGTGGTAGTCCAGTCGTTCCATTGCGAAGCCGATGTGGTGGTGGTTTGCTGAGTAGTTGGTTGAGTAGTTGTGGTGGTAGTCCAGTCATTCCACTGCGAAGCCGAGGTGGTGGTGGTGGCGGGCTGAGTAGTTGGCTGAGTGGTGGTAGTCGTGGTCCAATCATTCCATTGAGAAGTCGTCGGTTGCGTTGTGGTAGTGGTCGTTGGGACAGTCGTCGTGGGCACAGTCGTCGACGAACCCCAGTCACCCCAGGTTTGGCTACTAGCCTGGGACACTTGACCTCGAGGAAGGACAGCACCAAGGGCTGGCGCAATGGCCGAGAGAAGAACGAGGGACTTGCTTGCCATGTTGTGCGGCAATATAGCGAATGTGAATTCAACAAAAAGGAAAATAGAGGACTATTGTGGAAGAGCGAATGAGTAGTGTGGTCTTGATGAGAAGAGAGCCTGATCAGACCGGACGCGCTCTCACCTTATTATACCTCCGATCTGATCATGCTTGTATCGTCATCGGCATAGCATCTGGCTCAGCCGGCACATGAGGCATCGAAGTGGTTCATTCAGGCTGCATTGGGCTTACTGGAGAGTGTGGGACATACTCCGCCTGAGTGGACCATGACGCTAAAATTCGTACGAGTATCCCCCAGTCAAGATCGATCATCCGGCTTGACAAGGTTCAGTATAGCTTTGGAGGCCTGTAGGATCGTCCTGATCGGTGGAGGCTTTGTTGGCTGGGCTGGTGAGGCTAGGGTTTTGTCTCTTTTCCAGAAAAAGAAACCCTTGTCAGACGCCACCCACCACGATCAGCTCCGGGCACAGGCGAAGCTTTGCGCCTCCGGGGCCAGGCTGATTGTCCTGCTTTAGCTCGTCATTTGAATATTAAATCATATATTTAGAAAATCCCAGGCATCGACTTACTGAGAGCCTGAGAAGAGTGAGGTGGGTGAGGCGGAGAGCAAAGCAGGAAGTGTCGGATGCATCCTACGAGGATGACTGGGAGCTAGTCTCGAGTCAGCCGAGACAGAATTTACCTTCGACGGCTGGGTCCTTTACTGACCCTTCCTCCTTCGCCACAGAAGAGCCAACGTGGCGACCGATGGTAGTCGGCCACCGGAAAATTCGGGAGCAAGCAGAATTGTGAAAGGTGTATTCAGTCTTTCGCATCAAGACGAACAATTGGATCTGAACGAGCAATTCGATGGAGATGAATCCACCCCAGCCACAAGTTGTCTTACGTGCTTGTAGTTGACAGGCAGAGGCAGGCAAGGTTTGGGCACCGCCATGTATCTGCATACCTAGGCCCTAGGCAGTATCAGATGTGCAATTACCATCATGTAAGAAGAGACTGGAAATATCAGTCTTGCGGGGGCGAAGCTTGGTTTCTTTGGTGGTCAAGGTGGGCCTTAACGTGGCAATGCGGATCCTCTGAGCCTCGCAGAGACAGAGGCTCTACGAGTGTGGTGTGTCGTGTTGAGACATGCATGAGAGCTTAACAACCAGCACTGCAACGGTGAGCGAGTAGTCGTCATCCTGGAGGCAGGATCCAGGCACAAAGGTCAGAAAAAAGTTCTTGTCAGGTGGGGTTGACGGTGTGTGTCCAGCCTCCACACTGCGGCTTGCTTATGGGGGATGAACTTGTGGTGCTGACGGCATACTCCGCATGCCTTTTACAGTGATGAGGGTGGATGCGATGCTGAGTAGAGCGAAAGGATTGGGCTTGAGGACGAGGTGATTGGTGATGAAGCATCGTATTCAGAGGGCGATGTGTGCGGATCAGCATTGAGGAAAAGAAGGAAACGTTTTTGTGCACCGAGGATATGGTACAGAGTACGGGTATCCGTGTGGTGGACGCGCATGGTGTTTCTGCTTCGCCGCAGCAGTACAGTATATAGTTAGTGGCTTCTAAATTTAGCCTCACACGTCATGGCGTCTTTTGGCTGGGCAAGAGTACGAGTCCACGAGGGACCTCGTATGCACGGGCGCCGTACAAAGTCAACCCTTCAAACACATACACCTGGTGAACATTGGTACCCTACAAAGACATGCTCGTCCCGTCTCTTCACCCACAGAACCGAGAAATCTTACGAATGATATGTCTCTGCCATGAGGACATTATGCCGGCAAATTCGTGCGTCTCCTCCCTCTCCTCTCCACTGCCTGCCGTGACTGGGCTTACGCACGGCATTGGGCATGTCCACACACCATCATCCTGCATCGTCACCCGCTGTTACGACTCCCGCGTTTCGGAAGGGTCTTCTGATCCGAGGTCATCAACCTATCAACGCAGCACACATAAGGGCATGGTTCCGCGGAGCAGCGGAAAGACCAACCGAATCATCGTGTTTCTGCCTCGTTGATCGGTGAACTACATCCTTGAGTACATCGTGAGCCGCCCTTGTGATGCCCTGCCTGCCCTAATCTCCAAGGAACGAAAGCAGCTTTTTCACGCACTCATGCGCGGTTGACATGCACTCCACAGCAACGTCGGTCCGAGAGAGTCGCTAATCGAGCCATTTCGTTGTTGATTTGTTCACTGTATGGTGGGAGGGGGGAGGGGGAAAGTGGCTCCTCATTTACTTGAGGCATGTCTCACCTCTCCTGCACAAAGATCAAGTATGAGGTAGTGTACAGCCATTCTCGAACCCGGCTTCCCTTTTTTTCAACTCTCTGCATGTTTCTCCAAGAATCGATGTGGAGAGCACACCTTGAACTTCCCAGCTACTCGTGGTCAGCATTGCAAGCGAGGAGAAAGTGATCATTGTCGGCGATCTTCCCGATGAAGACGCCTATACTGAGGATAAAGAGCATATCTCCAGGCGTCGCGATCTAGATGATGCTACCTACAAACGAAGCTATTCCCGCTCAGAATTGCCTTGCTATTCCGAACCCGATAAAATCGTGCCCAGGGAATGGATAATGAGAAGCTAACTAACACTCCAGTACCAGCATCAAACTTCTACTCCAGAGTCATGCATTTTACCTCGTCCATCTTCCTGTTATGTTTTCATGCCCGTGAGGAAAGGGGACTCTCGCCACTCACCAGTATGTTCGCTGCTCGTTCCACTGCATCACACGGAATTCATCATGGGCCATATTTTCTGCCCTCTTGTAACCTCGCCGTTCAGGATGTCAGGCACCCTCTTCAAGCTTGGAGTGGAGGAGCAATCCCTGCCTTGATTCTTACACGTGACCTCAATTCCCCTCCCATCGATGCGAAATGCGCCCTCATTTTGAAATGGCCTTTACTACCTATCACTATGAGTGGACTGCGGCAATCACGACCCAGGCACCTTTCTGCAGGATTTCCAAGCGATGTATCCTTATGAACCAGGGAGCATCTTCTGGTTGAAACCGAAATACGGCTTTGCTGACGATGTTGAGGCTGTAGCGGAGCTACCAGCCGGCTGTTACGATCACCCTGCCGTTTTGCTCTGGACGGAAGAGGTTGGAGCAAAGGCAACCATTTTCCTTGTTAGTGCATATGGTTTCTCTTGACCGGGTTGCGGCTAAACGCTCATAGATAACATCTTTTAACGGGGTTCCACTTCACGTTCGACATGCGACGAACAGAACCGTGCGAATGCAGCATTTACCTATCTCTCCAAGTCCACCACATCCCGATTCTGGAGCCTTGCTTAAAATGGAGGGTGAACCCCTACACAAGGATAGCTACGTTAAGGTAGAGCAAGTGAGAGTCTGTAGCCTTCGGGCTCTTCGTCCCCACGGGACCCGCAAAATGACGGCTCACTCCTACAACCTTCTGATGACCTATGCACCAGCGAAGCCTCCAAGCGCGGATATCAGTGTTGCCCAAAGACAGCCACGCAGAGGCCCACGGTACATTGAGCCACCAGGGCTTCCATGGGTTGTAAATATACATCCATCAGTTCAGCGTGACTCCTTACTAGGTGCGCACGACTACTCTCACAACCGCGTCAACGTCGAGAATACGAGCCTGATGCCCCCTCAACCCCTTCGCCAATATAATATGATGACAGAGCACGGAAGGCCCCTACTACAGAGCCCCCTACAACCCCCTCAGCGGACCTTTATCGTTCCTGCTCGAAGCGGATCTAGTTATAACACATTCGCATCGCAGGATCGAATGTCACATTTTCCCACATCACCATCTAGGCGTCCAACATCTCCTACTTCAGAAGACAGACCCCCACACCTCGGAATCTGCGCTGCAGTTGTATTTCTCGGCGTATTTCTCGGCGTGGTCGGCGCAGCCATGTACGGACTTTTTGCTTTGGGGAAAGCTCTCATTAACATCATATCACAATGGATTCACCATTGGTTTTCAGGGAAGGCTGGGGCGTTGAGGCTCTGGCAACTTGCATAAATAGTCTTCTAATATTGTATTAGATTGCGAAGAGAAGCTAGAAGAACTTATGCGAGCTACCTACATAGTCATATCGCCATGCTTGGATGCTTATCCGCTGTCAGTCAATTGCGTAAAGCATACCTGGAGCGACAGCAGGCTTCCGAAATGGAAAGTGCCCACACATAAGAAACCGCAATTGGAGCAAGAGAAGGTTGCTTGAATATTACGAAGGAATGTGTTCTGGCCCTGGCAGCTCGTCAGTTCAACAGTAATTTACTTTATCAATGTCCGAAATGATTAACTAAAAAAGCCTTGGAACCGACAAAGGGGTCCAAAACTGATTCTCTTAAAGCTCGCGGGTCAGCTTTATCAACAAGATGGATTTTCGTAGAAGTTCCGGTTTGCCTCAGTCGCGGCTAAACCAAGCGTCTTCAATATTCCTATCAAAAATTGAGTTGTAGTTCTCCTGTAACATCTCACGATCACTGTCGCTATCACCGCAGTCACCAAGATAGTCGTATCTGTCCGGTTCTTCCAAGCGCCTAGCTCTTCGGGATTCTCGATCTGCGATCAGTGAGACGCACGTCGTATCCCCTGCGCCAAGGCACTTGCCTGTCTCTATTTCTCCTGGTGTTCTCTTGTTAATGATGGCTGCTTGAGGAACACGATGGAGACACAGATAAGCTCCTTGGATGTGCTGTTGGGCCCCATCCGGAATGACCAATTTTAGCATCTGCACCAAGCTGCTCAATTTGAAGATGGGAGTGGTCTCCTTTAGTTCGATAGCATTAATCACGTAAAGTGCCCAACTGCCATCCGGCCCACGGTTTCCGCGCCAGGGTTCCTTCCGACCCCAATTTTCAGCGTGCTCTTGATCGGAGAAGAGAGAAATAAAGGGAACCGGGTCTCGGCAAGACCATTTGAACTGACTTTCGAGAGCTTGCTTGAAATCGTGCAGATCGTCTGCCCCAAAAGTTCTTTCGGTGTCGGTAGCCTTGAAACCTTTTTCGGAAGTAAACGTCGTTTGAGATCCAGGATAGTCAATCCGGTAAAGCTCGTGAGGTATGTTTAGACAGGCGTAGCGTTCCATGTCGACTTGTCGACCACCACAAGTCGACGGATACTGCTGTCAAGTTCCCGTCAAGCCTGAGATTCAACCTGGCGAGGGAGCAAACCCAGGTAATGCCCTGAGACCACCCCGCACAACAGCACTACGTTGGCAAAAAAGGTTAGGCCTCGCCGATAACGCAACCTGCACTACAGCCCAGAGCGGTAGATGAAGAACTTTAAGCTTGATGTGACATACAGGGATCCTCCGTGCAATCGCCAGTGTTACCAAGACGTCGAAATCCACCATGAACGCACAAAGATAGACTACTAGCCCTCCCAATTACATAGCGACCAAGATCTGTGGGGACCAGTTTGTATACTGCGCAACAGTGCTGTGTCGAGAATATGGCATTCCGAAGGATGTTGGCTCTGTACCGCGTTCCCGCAGATCAGGGGCCTTTGCGTTGAGTTTTCGTTCAAACGGAGACCTACTTCCGACGAACGTCAAATTTTCATGTTGTGGGAACTTGACACTCCCATGCTTGCAGCTCTACTTCGTCACGGCTGATGTAGCACTGGCTATTTTCAGCTTCGAATGACAAGGTTTGACCAAGAAGACGATTTAGTCAAGATTTGCTGAGGGAGAGCTTTGATGATGACAAGCAAGATGAGCAATCGCAAGAGGGGATTTTTTTTGGAGGACGACCTAATAGTGTCTGATACTGACAGCCTCTCTGTATTCTTGTTAGCCGAGGGATCCTTCGAAATCTGGGACTAGGCCGGAAGGTGTGTAAGAGCAAAGAGAGTCGTCAACTGTCTTGCGAGGGTGTCGCACTTTTGATTCATCGCGAGTGATCTGGCTATGCCGCGTCTCTAGAGGAGGCGAGGAATCTGGAATGCAACCACACCGATGCCCATTCGATCCAGCACCTGCATATGGGTACTCGAATTCGTACGACTGAGCTTCGGGGGAGCTCCCATCACACCATCTTCTGTTGCTGGCCTAGTACGTCACGTTTTTCGTAGACCTGTCGATTGATTGAGCCAATGGCGAAGGAATACGAGTCGGTGGTGTTGCACCCATGGTTCTCAAGTCGGCTGTGATGTCTTTCGTCACCCATACAGCCCATCCCATTCTTCTTCATCATCCTCGGGAGCAGCATTTTTCTTGATATCATCCAGCAGTTTCTGCTTCCGATCCCTTTCCCGCTGCGCTAGGTCTGCTCTATCCAAGGGACATGTCCCGTTAAGCAAAAGCCAAGGTCTGACGCATTCGAGGTCAAAGATATGAGTGGGATGGCACGGTAGCCTCACTAGTAGTGGATGCGGATCTTCAGTGAAAGGATTTCCACAGATAGGACAGTCTGCGTCCTTCTTGACTTTCTTGATATTGACACGCTCTAAAGCCGCAATGTACTCTTCGTCCACGCCTTTCACCTCTCTAGGAGGATGTTCTGCCGAGCCCATCAATGAGTCTATGAGGTTGCTGAGCAGGTCCGAGTCGGCATTATCATTGTCTCTTTGCATTACTTGGAAGGCTTCTGCGAGGGAGCGATAAAGCGCAGAAACATCTGCTGGCACAGGAACCGCATCGGGCCTGTGACGGCTGTCCGGCTGGCTGATCTCAGAAAGATGGCTTAGGAATGAGGACATATCTGGTCTGCGAGGCTGGGTTTGCTCTTGTCGGGGGGCGTCCGTAGCATGTTCAGCTATTCAAAGTTAGCCCACTACTCAATATTGATGATGGAACATTCATTCTCACTTTCGTAGCTCGCCATTGTGTTGTGTTGTGAAAGGAAATACCGTTTCGCGAGACACAGGTCGGATTACACGCACAGGTTTTGCACCTGTCCAGGACTTGTGAGAGGCGTCGGGAGAGAGGAACACAATGGTAAAATGCGATTCAGGTAAATGGAAATCCAGGCACAGCTGGATGGCGTGGCACACAATTGGATCAGGCTCGTGTTGTCACTACGTCTGGGTGGGAAAGTTCCGGAGGCCAGCAGGGAAGATGCTTCAGACGTTAGCAGGGAATACAACATCAGCTCATGCATACAACATTTTACGGCTCACAGCAAACGGTCGACGTGATGAAGAAGGACAATCATCAGTCTTGTCGCAGGTAGAAACTGGAGGAAGTGCAGCGCGGCCAATAGATGGCGGGGCTGAATCAATAGCAGAAGCCACAACCTCAGCTACTATTGACATCAATCTCAACGTCGTTCTCAACCACAGATAAACTTAAGTAATCTCTAGACACGACCGTTTGTCGTTGGATTTTCTATCAATAGCCTCCTCACAATGCTCCGCCCTCCAGATCCATGAGAAAGAACACAGCGTCCAGACCACTCACGCGCCCATGGAGGCTGACTGGGATGAAATCACTCGCATCGCGGTGCCGTCGTCGGGACTGCATGCAATTCCTACCCCTGCCAGTGCAGTCGCTTTTGACGACCTCCAAGAATTAGTATGGGTGGGCAATGATCAGGTATGTAGCCCTGTGTTCTGATGCGTGATGATTTGCTGGAGATGTCCACTCATGCTGCCTCTCGTTAGGGACGGGTAACATCATTCTATGGCCGGGACCTCCAAAGATATGTATCGGTCAAAGCTCATTTGGGCGAAGGCCCAGTCAAACAACTATTAGTACACGAAAAGGGTATCTTATCTTTATCAGCCTCAAGTGTGCACTTCATAACCCGAAGAGGCTTGACACAATGGCACATCTCACATCGGCAGATGACCAATTTACGATGTATGACTTTAACTGCCACAAACAACCATATACTGGTCGCTGGATCCCAAAGTACCTTTTTCATCATCGATGTCGAGAAAGGACAAATTGTCTCCGAACATCCCTCCGAAGCCAAATACACCCTGATGAAGAAATGCCGACACGTGTGCGCTGCCACTGACGACGGTAACGTGCACATCCTCAGCCTGTCAGACTATTCGGTCATCAAGAAATGGAAAGCCCATTCGACTGCCATCAATGATATGGATGCTCGTAACGATTTTTTGGTCACATGTGGCTTCTCGGTTCGTCAATTGGGTGTGCCCATTGTCGACCCCCTGGCCAATGTCTATGATCTGAAGATGTTGACCTCCCTTCCACCAATTCCATTCCATGCAGGCGCCGCATACGTGCGTTTGCATCCGAAACTACAAACGACTGGTTTCGTCGCGTCGCAAACAGGCCAAATGCAGGTGGTGGATCTGATGAACCCAGTCAACGTTATGCTCAAACAAGCGAACGTCCAATTCATGCTTGGGATGGAAATTGCCTCTTCTGGCGATGCTGTTGTGATCACCGACACCAACGGTCTGTTATATCTCTGGGGTTCTCCATCTAAAGTCAGGTTCAACAACATAAGCCAGAAGACTGAGTTCGCCGACCCAGTTCCTCAACAAACTCCCCATGTTGATTGGGGTGACTCACCACTGAATGCTGTCGGTATGCCGTACTATACCGAGCCCCTACTTTCTGCTTGGCCTAGCCATCTGGTATTCGAGGTTGGATCCCCTCCGGCGCCGGTAGAGCCTTCACTTCTTTTTCACCTGCAACCCGCCGAAATGGGACACTATGCCCCAAACATCAACCCCCGTAAATTGCTGCGTCATCAAGTCGCAGACACCAGAGCGAGTCATGCACCTGCCACCATTGCAGTTCCAAAATTCTTGAGCGAGAAAGCCAAGGAAGGTAGCTCGGATGGCCCGGGTAGCAAACTGTCTGATGCTGCCGAAGCTTTGGCAGGAGTGTCGCTAAGCGGGCGAGCTCAAACTGACGAGGAACGTATGCTAAAATATAGCAACGTCGAGATCAAATACAGTAGATTTGGTGTCGACGATTTCGACTTTCGATTCTACAACAAGACTCCCTACTCTGGCTTGGAAACACATATCTCCAATTCTTTTATCAACTCACTCCTACAACTATATCGCTTCATCCCCCTAGTCCGCAACGTTGCTATACAGCATGCAGCCACCTCATGTGTCGCCGGTAATTGTCTCCTCTGTGAGCTTGGCTTCCTATTTGATATGCTGGAAAAGGCCAAAGGCCAGAATTGCCAGGCGACAAATTTGCTCCGGGCTTTTGGAGCTTCTAGAGAGGCGGCAAATCTCAGCCTTTTTGAACATCTCGCTCTGGCCAATGGAAACAGCTTGTCCACTACGATCCAAGCCGTCAATCGATTCTTTCTCAAGCAAGTCGCCCACGACTATATGACTATGGCAGGGAGTAGTACAGGCATCGACGATATTCTTGCAAGTAACGCCTTCGAAGTCATTCGTTGCATGTTTTGCAACAATGAGACTACCAAACCTGCAAGCACGTACGTTCAAGACCTGACGTATCCTCAAATTGACCCAAAGCACCCGATGAGGTATCTCAGATTTTCTTCGCTCCTTAAGACCACGATCGAACGAGAGGCCAAGAACCGCGGCTGGTGCAGCAGATGTCGGAGATATCAACAATTGGCTATAAGAAAGACAGTCCGTCAGCTACCATCAGCGCTCATAATCAATACGGCTCTTGGTAACAATGGCGCAGTCCGTACGCTTTGGGAAACACCGGGCTGGCTACCATCGGAAATCGGTATCATAGTCCAAGACAGAGTCGTTTATGTTTTTGAAGGGTCAGATCTCGCACTACACATACGCAACAAGTCGCCGAATTTGGTGGTGTATGAGCTGGTCGGCTTCGTGGCCGAGATCGACTCTAGTGAAAGATCTGTACCGCATCTCGTCAGCATGGTCAATGTCGAGGTGTCCAACCCAACACTAGACACATCCCACAACCACAAAGTATTCCCCAATTGGCATCTCTTCAACGACTTTTTGGTGACGCCGGTCGACCCTAGAGAGGCGCTGCACTTCAATCAGAACTGGAAGATGCCAAGCGTGATCGCTTACCAGGTCAAGAGTGCACATGGCAAGATCGATCAGACGTGGAAAGACAACCTCGACACAACTCTACTCTACCAGCATTACAGCATCAATGGCCGATATCCCAAAGAAGAATGCAAGATCTTGACGCCCGAAGAACATCCCCAGGCAGGAACTCCCATCGCACTGGACACGGAGTTTGTCGAGTTGGAACAAGCCGAGATCAACGTCAAGGCGGACGGCACGCAGGAGACGATCCGACCAGCTAAATCGGGGCTCGCGCGCGTGAGTGTTTTGCGCGGCCAGGGCGAGGAAGAAGGCGTCCCGTTCATTGACGACTATATAACTATTTACGAGCCGATCGTGGATTATAAGACACAATATTCTGGTATTCGACCAGGCGATCTCGATCCGCAGGTATCCCAACACAACCTCGTCCCGCTCAAGGTGGCGTACAAGAAGCTTTGGATCCTGCTCAACCTTGGCTGCGTGTTTGTCGGGCACGGGCTGGCGTCGGATTTCCGCAAGGCAAACATACACGTGCCCAAATCGCAGACGGTCGACACGCAATACTTGTACCTTGCGCCGGGCAAGAACCGGCGCTTTTCCCTGCGGTACCTGGCATGGGCAGTGTTTAGAGAGTACATTCAAGAGGACGTCGTGGACGACACCCACGCCGACGGCCACGACAGTATCGAAGACGCCCGGATGGCCTTGCGACTGTGGCGCAAGTTCCAGGAATACGAGGACGCGGGGATTGTGGAGCAAATGATTGACGACATCTACCGCAGGGGCACGAAGTATGGATGGAAGCCACCGCCGCGAAGTATCGGAGGGACTTTTTTGTTTCCTGACGCCAATGGGAATGGGAATGGTAATGGAAACGGGACAGGGGCAGCGAATAGCGCGGTGCCCAGTGGGAGAAATACTCCTGACCTCATGTCCTTTTCGTCACCTACTTCACCGCCCTCGGTCAAAACCGGCGGATCTGGAGGTGGAAGTGGTTCTGGAAGTGGCGGAGGAGGGGGTGGAGGAGCAGGAGCAGGAGCACCCGGCGCAGCGGGGGGAGGACCTTTAAAGATGTCAGTGGCGGGAATATCGTCGTTTGTGCCAGGGAATGGGATCACAAGAGAGAGTCCACTGCGTTGACGGGTGACGGGTGACGGGTCATCACGTTGTCTTGCTGAGTATTCACAAAGTCAATGGCACATACCTACCTATGTATCTACCCACCTGCTCCGTACTTGCACGGTACAGAAGGTATCCTGCCTATTCTAGATATCTACCTCCCTACCCACGTATTTACCTAGCCACAGTACGTACAGTACCTTCTTACTATACTCCAGTGAGCCCGAGGATGGGAAGGCAAAAGGTGCAGAAGTGCAAAGCGCAAATCAGTTAGTGTCACGTTTCATGTGTGAGAGGGAAGTTTTATCATACGTGATTGACTATTTCATTCATTTTGATACCAATGCCAACGCCGATGCCTTCGCTGTGCTATGCCATGCTATGCTATGCCATGATGTGCCATGATGTGAAGTGGGTCACGCGCAGTGCCCGCCTGGTATCTCATAGTCCAAACGCCCTTTTCGTGATGTTGATATCCGATGTGTCCCTACCAATAGTGGGATAGGTAGGTAAGGTAGTCAGCTCATTTCATGACTTTTTTCCTTCACATTGCTCATCTCATCCCACCCCATCCCATGCAATGCAGTGCAGGATGGTACGATCTGATTTATTTTTGTTTCTTTCCCAGGAGGGTTTTTTTCCCGTCACAATATGTTTTTTTGTCTTTTCATCGTTGCGGTCCATATCCATATCCACCGTTTGAATAACTTTGAGCATTGAAATGGTCGTACTGTCGTCCACCACCACCACCGCCACCACCGCCGCCGCCACTAAACTGATCCATCCTTATTTGTCCCTGTCCGTGACCGTACCCTGAATTATCATACCCACCGTAAGCAGAGCTCGAGTACGTCGGTGCCGGGGCGCGAGCCTGGGCAGGTCTGTACATTTGTCTCGAAGCCGAGTAATCGGTGACACCGTAGGGGACGTCGTCTTCGCTCTGAGAATGTGAATGTGAATGGTACAACGGTTGCGTCTGCGACTGGTCATATTGCGGTTGCGTTTCTGTGCCTGCCGTAGAGCCAGCTCTTGCATCCGCCCCCGTTCCCGTCCCCGTCCCCGTCCCCGATCCATAAGAATAAGGGTCCAAGTGGTTCAATCTCACGACGTCTTTGTCGTCGGCCGCGGCGGCGCCCTCCGCCATCATCTTATTGTACCTGCCCAGAGCGGTCTGCTTCCTCCGACTCCTCACGTCGAGGACGATCAGCGCGACCTGCGCGAGCCAGCCGAAAATGTTGAACGAGTAAAAGGCCTTGTAGGTGCGACAGATCATCATGCCGTCGTCGTTGGCCCAGTTCGCCCGGGAACACGAGTGCCCCAGCGTGCCGTACATGTTGTATGTGAGCAGCGCGATGCCGACGGTCCACACCAGCAGGATCGAACTGTTGGAGATGAGGTTGAGAAGGGGGTTGAGGAAGGCGAAGGCATAGACGAGAGAGGTGACCAGTAGGGCCAGGAGGGAGAGGAGAGAAGATAGGAGGATCTATTTGACGGGACCATGACACGTTAGTGGTTGTTTGCACGGCACATCGGTAGAAGATTGGAAGTCCAAGGGAGAAAGAGCAGAAAGGAGGAGAGCCCTCGGCAAGGCAAGGCAGGGCAAAGAGAGAGGAAACGTACCACAATAAATGTCCACGGTAACTTGAATCCATCGTGCTTGAGTTGGAGGCAAAAGTAAATCAATATGCCGGAAACGACCGAGGCGCTGATGAAGGCAATGCCTCGAATGACGTGGAATGCAAGTCTGGGATAGACTTGCGGTCGACTGCGCATTTTGGTCGTTGGCATTATGGAGGAAAGGAGGTAGAACGTTGAAGCTGGGATCGGGGGAATGATATTTGGATTCGTATGTCTCGGGGGGCGCTGTGTAACCGGGGAAAGATCTTGGTACCCGTAGTACCAAGTACGGAGTAAAGAAGCTCAGACACTCTGCTGGTCCGCGTCACGCACGCGCGTACTCCGTAGTGGAGGGAGATATCGTGTGTGTCTGTGAGAGCAAGTGTGTGTACTTGCTGAGTTTCGGTGCCACTATGCCAGAAGGGACCTCGGATAGACGTTTCTGAGACGTTTAACGTAGCGACTGATCGATTTTGGAATGGAGAGACGACAGACAGATGTTGATTCAGAGGAGACGAAGAAAGAAAGAAAGAAAGCAACACAAATGACTCTGGCTGCGACACTGAGGGGGAGAGAGAGTGTGTGTGTGTGAATGAATGGCCTAAAGTCGAGGCGCTGAAAACAGAGTGACAAAAGAGAAACATACAGAGGACCACAGCGGACAGAGAGGCGGAGTGAACGAGGCTCATACGAGGCTATACAGGGGGGGTTGTTTTAAGCCACCCAAGCGAGGAGAGAACAAAAATAGAAATCAGGGAGTCTAAAGTACCAACCCCCGGTCGCCCAAGTACCGTCTCCAGGATTTTCATACTGTACGAGTAGATGACTAACTAGTATTCGTATTCGTATTGCACTCAGTCAAATGTTTGGGCTCTAGAGAGGATTCTCATCATCCATTCTTTTATATCCCATATCCAGGTGGTTTTACTTAGTGCTCCCTCCCTTCTACGAGTACTATTACTCATACTGAAAGTCAAATGCATCTACTCGTCTACAAGAAGAATGACTGCTTTGCACCTTCAAAGCAGTGAAGAGTCGACCGAGGACACACCGCCGTGGGTAAAGAAATCAGATCGAATTCCATCGCTTGCTATACTATCACAGTCTAAGCCAGTCCAATTCACTCTTGCTGTGGCCCATCATCCGTTTGCCCAACAGAGGAGCCCCCTGTGCTTTGTGTACTAGGTCATTGTCTTTCCATCCTTGCCTTGACATATTACCTACACGCACAAATAGTATATCACACCGACACCCCATCTTATAACGTCCTGGTACCGTGTAAACCGACTTCCTCCCCATAGACCGTCCAGATCAAGCAAACTACAGCCCGAAGGAATCGAGAGAGATGAGATGCGAGAAAGCCACCCGTACGCCTCAGCTCCAACCCGGTCAGGGATAGCCTTATCAGCTCGATCAATCACAATGCGGCACGGGGCCGTTGCCTCTCACCAAATCAGAGACCTTTCATTGAGATGCAAGCACCACCTCGTCAATGGCTTCATCCAAACCTAGGATCATTTCCCCACTGAAACGCTTAAATAGCTTGCCACGACTTAAAATTCCCTTCATCCAAAGTCTCGACAGGTATAAATCAACAGTCATCATGGAATTGCAATCCCCGCAGAAACGCCGTTGCAAAGAAAAATCGCAGAGCCATCACCGGAGTCGCTCTATGCCCGTATACTGGATAATGTCAAGGTATCAAGGTCGTCATCGTAATATTTGGCATGAAGAAATTTTGAAATTTCATCTCTCGCTGGCACCCGATGGCTCTGGCCTGCTGGCAGTATTGAAATCGCTCCTCTCCATCGCAAAAGGAAGAAATTCGTCTTCGTCAAACTTGTTTTCTGGTCGGCTTCCACTTCGTCTTCCGCCTCGGCCCCACGAACCACTTGTACTACTGTCGACCTGTTCAGCGCTGCCCGCAGTCCCGCTGAAGCTTGATCCAGACCCATGCGCAGCTGGAATTGGTCTAACAAGGCCGCCGCGAGAACCACGAGGACGATGCGCAGTCGCAGAGGAGCGGTTGGACGTAGGCTCCGAAGGACCGCCATCAGTGACTACTGTGGCTAGCCCAGAGTGTCGATGAACCTGCGGACCCCTGTCAAAGGCTCTCGAATTCTGTCGTGGCCGAGGATCGACACTGGCCGAGTCGTCACCCGGTTCTTGACGACCAGGGTCTCGCCGGTTGTCTCTCCGGTCAGCCCCCATGCTGTGGCTTCGCATGCCGTACAAGTCGGCGATGTCCTCATCAGAGCTCAGAGGTCGACGCTGCGCCGAGCTCGAACGCTGGTAGCCTTGTAGAAATGGTCGAGGGGAGTTGGGAATGTCAATAGCAGGAACATTGGCAGTCGAGCGAGCCTGCGCGGTCTCTTCCGTCGCGGCATCGGAAGGTGAAGGAGCCTCCTCGACAGTGAGGTGGGTCGGGTCCGTGTCGTCATGGCTATAGGCAGCACTAAGCCTAGAAGGCGCGAACGGAGTATGAGGCGTGTGAGGTGAGATCGGCTTCCCAGGGGACGAAGACGTAGAGACTGAAGTGGGGCCTACCATGGGCGGAACACCAGACAGTTGCCTACTCGAAGATGCCGACGACCTCTGGAGCATCATGGATGAGGAGATGGATTCAGACAATGCTGTGTTGGAGTCTCGTAACCTGTGGAAGCGGTTCAACGCTGCAGCAGTCCGTCTTGTATTTGCCTCCGCAGCGGATGACGACACAGAGCCCAGCAGATCTTTCTGTAGCTCCAACATCTTCAGGAAGTCGGAGATGTTCTCGCCATCATCTTCAACTACAGAGCCCGAACTTCCACCGCCTGGGGTTGCCTCCGTTATGAGTCCTGACCCGGGCTGAGCAGAAGATGCAGCACTGGCCCTCCCACTGCTGTTCTGATCGTCGTCTGTGCGGACAGTGGTGCCGCCAGAGGACAATCGGCCACGTCGATGGCTGAAGCTGCTGCTGTACCTCGTTGGAGCAGGTTTCGGTGAGCTCGATGCCGAGTATGCAACGGCGTGTTCCGAAACAAGCGAGCCGGTTCGTCGACCAGTAGCTGCGGCACTAGTGGTGGTGATACCCTCTTCTGTAAGAGACCCCAGAGTAGGTGCTCTGACAACATGCGTCCGTGGTGACGATGCAAGGGGAGACGATCCCAATGGTGAAGCTGAAAGAGTTGGGGTCTTGAAAGGTTGTACCGAGAAAGAGCTTCTTCGGGTGGCTGCCACGGCACGCAAAGAGTTGCGTGAACTTTGGGAGGCTGTGTTGTTGTGCATTGGCCTGGATGCTTCGGGTGTAGGAGGCGAGCTCGCGTTGAAATCCTGGGCGTTGCGCAATGCAGATATTGGACTGGTGCCCGTGCCAATTCCTGCTTGATGAAAGGTCGACAAGCTGCCATAAGCAAGTCCAAGTTCAGGTCGCTCTAACAGATTTTGCCGTCGATCGTTAGGTAGGGAACCGATTTCCGTCCGAGAACTTCTATCAGCAGGTAGAGATGGTCTGAACAGATCATCATCTGCTCCTAAGAACCTTGAACTCAGTAGCTCTTCAGAATCATCAATGCGGAAGTCGCAGTGCTGTCGATATTCTACCTTGACCGAAAACGGCCCAGCAGGTGACTCGGTCAAGCCGAAGTCATAGAGGGAGACGACTTCGGAATTGCTGTCGAAGAGTCTCAGACCGAGGTTGTCTGGACGCGATAGATTCCTCAGGCGTGACCCGTCTACGAGGCGATAGCCCAGCTTCAATGCCATATGTGCCCGGCCCTTGCCGACCTTTCGGGCCAGTTTCCAGGCGGGAAGAAAGTTGCTGTAGGTGTAAAGGGAACGGAACAGAACAATGCTCTTCTTGTACACTAGGGGTAGAAGCGTTGCCAAGTCTAAGGGTATTGGCCCGGTAGCATCACCGAGTTCGATGGTCCACCGTTCGAGGAGGACCTCGTTAGTATCCGTTGACCGCCGTTGGCTGGAATGAGGAGTGTCGTGAGCCGCCGATAACGAATTCTGTACATCCCATCTCTTCCCGTCCTCGTCGACGATGACGAGTCGTTGGCCTTGCTGCAGAGGTTCGGTTGTCAAGAAGATCTCGATGACCAGGGGAGCCGGCCGGTTCACTTCCACATCGCACGTCTTCCATCTCTTGATATGATCCTTGTAATCCTCCGTCTCTTCCACGTCGAGGTTGAACCACCGATTCACCCGTTTTGAGTCTGTCTTTTGAGAGTAGGCCGGTGACAGTTCGACTCTGGAGTGGAGTATGATCAAGGCGGCCTTGGTATGAAAGTTCTGGACGACCTGGTTGAGTCTCTGCATCTGGCCGACGGTATTATCCGCAGGCTGTTCTTGTCGTGCTGCGGCAAAGTCTTCAGAGGAGCCAGAGCCCTGGGTAAGGGGGGAATTTGTTCGAAGAGCCTGGACGTCTCGATCTCTGGGGTTGTTGGTGCGAGTAGGGTTGGTCTGTTCCGAGGTCGCAGGGGAGGCAGAGGCGGGGGGAGGGCGTGGATGTTGATGCATGGTGTCAATGGTCTCGGCAGGAGATGTTCAAAGAGCAGAGACGCGATGTCTGTCTAGCTGTGCAGAGCTGGTTGGTGAATCGCAGGTATCCTATAGCCATCCATGCTTCAAAAGGCCCACGATATGTGTAGGTGAATAGACGAGAAGTAGACCGGCAACGTTGATGACCAGGGTATGCAGGAATCAGGGCATCCGACGAGATCAAGGGACGTTCAACAGCTCTAGCGATGGCAGTGGGTCGACTAGGACGATGAAGGAGTCATGGTTGCGGCGTAGGACGGTTATCAGCAAAGTGTTGAGCGTGAGGTTCACAATGGTCTCGAGTCGCAGGCATATGACGCGGGCCGCATGTGATTCGTGATTGGAGACGTGAGGACAGGAAACGGTCACACCTGGGCGATGCAGGTGGAGAAATGGGTGGTCAGGCTTGTGAGGCTGGGTACCGGCGACAGTCGTGTGGTCCAGGAAGCAAGACGATACAGAGGAGAAAAAGGAAGATGGATAAGGTAGACCGGGGTTTAGCGAAGGCAGCAAGCAAGAGTCATTGAATGGTTCGATAGAGCGGAAATGGGAATGGAGATGGAATGATGTTGAACATCCGTGATGGACACTGGACGATATCGAAATCGAGTGACAGACGCAAGAGCAGCGAGAGATGCCCCGTACTGGGTCAAGTGGGATTTGAGCGCTGCCGCACTGAACAGTCAATGGTCTGTGTGAGTTTAGATGAGGTGCTTGCAGCCGGTGAGCTCGACATGCATTAGCTAGCCGTTGTTCTGAAGCAGCGGCATGACCAGGTCCATTTCGACATGTTGTACGGAGTACCGGGCGATGACTGGGGTCCTGTATGGAAGGATGACCGGGGTCACCGAGCCTGACACGGGGGCTTGACTGGAGGGTCCTAAGCTGCCTGGACACAGGGGGTTTACTAGGCTGCGCGGGCTTCTGCACCCTGGGCGCAGGCACAACATTCCCTGAACAAACCGAGGCAATCGCAGGGATCAAAGCACCCAGACGGCTGCCTGATAGGCTGCCCCAAAGCATGCAGAACAACACCTAGGGAGGAGCTCCCAGCTTAACCGGAGGCTACTGCGCAGGGCTTCGCGACCTCTTCCCTCCCCCGTCCTGCCCACTGCTCGGTGCTCACTCACTGCTCCCGGTGAGCTTTCCCCCTTCAGTCGTGGCATTGCAGCAGGACCTTCCCTGGCCTCTCACCGGTAAACAACACACCGTTGAGTACAGAGTGTCCATCCAGAGCGGACCAGATCACGCATTCATCGCTCACCGTACAGCAGAGACAACACACACCTTCACACAGAAGCTTCCGTAGACTATCCTGCCTAGGTGGGCGAGGGATCTGGTCCCCTACGAATATTTGGACTTCTCCTCTGCGCTTCTGTCAACTCCGTCCTTCAGATAGCCGGGGGCTCGTTCTAGGACACTGCATTCAGCTCAGCTCACATCTCACAGCTCCAGTCTCGCTCCCGTCTCCCTGCTGGACCTTTGCCTTCTTCTGTTGCGCACTAACCAAAGAACTTTACCCCAGGCGCTTCCGGTTCTGGCAAAAAGGAACCCTTGGATACTCCCGTCAAGCCGCCCGACCTGATACCCACTCGGACTGACCAACCCGGTGAGGCCATCAACAGCTACTCAAAAACCTTGAAATCCCATCCAGTAGGCAGACGAAAATACTTATCGGCCGCGGAGGATTCATCAAGGAACCGTGAAGAATACAATAGGCTGCAGGCACTAGACACCCTTGATACTAGGTAATTACCTCAACGAGGCACACAGCTAGCTGCCTTGCAAGACACTTTTGTGCAACCAAAGGAGCCTGGTGGGATTCGCAACATTGCATCCCCCAAGCATAGTGGATTTCTTCGCAGATCAATAATAATACTGTAATACATAGTCTATAGAATGTACAAAATGTCCAAGGTACCTAGATTACAGCGTACTTTGTCTGCATGGTTGATGCCTTGCCCCTCGCGGATGATTGTTTCCAAGCCCACCGCCCCTGCCACTGCCTCGTCCTCGTCCAGAATCTCCTCGCACCGTCGAAGAGCTTGCTGAGACCGTCTTGTCACGACCACCTGCTTCTGGATCTGCCGACGCCTTTCCCTTTTCACTGCTGCGGCGGGGTCCGCCGCGTCCGCGGCCACCTTTGCCGCGGTTACTGGCTGGTCTATGGCTCTGGGCCTCTTCTTGAACTCGCCGGCTCTCATTGTCCCACCATTCTTGAAACTCTTGCTCTTGTTGAATCTCCTGCAGTGATCTCTTAGCTACGGCCTCCTTGACTGCGGCCTTTTCGAATTGTTGCTGTGCCAGGATCTCTGTCATGGATGTCCGAGCATCAATAGCTGAGGTAGCTCGAGAAGGCAACGGAGTATGTCTGATCGACTGTATCTGCGGCGCCGCGGACTTCGGAGACGAGGCGAGCCGTGGTGGTCCTGAACCGCGCTTCGCGCTCTGATCAGCGCCATGACCAGTTGAAGCACTGCCAGCAACTGTCTGTCGCATGGTCATTGCGGGTCTTGCAGGAGTCATCCGGCCGATGTCTACATCGCGATCTGGGATGGCCGCTCCGAGTGGAAGGGCAGGCTTCGAAGGCGCGGAAATTGCCTGCCACGGTGAAGCCACCTTTGAGTTGGGGTCCTTCAGAGCCGCAGTCAGACTTGATGTCTTTACTCCTTCATCCTTCAGCATTTGCTGTTGTCGTTTGCGTTCTTTCTGAGACATTTTCGCACCGCCTCTCGGACCCGCCGAACCTGCACGGACGGCGTTGATAAGGTTCGAGACACGCGAGGCCGAGGCTTGTGCCATGATATCTTTCAGACCGCCATGGGGAGAATTTTGCGTTGGCAGATTCCAGGCTGTTCTTGGAGTATCAAAACCTGTGATAGCCAGACCGGGACTGACAACAGGCGAGACATGGTCTTGCTGGGCTCGATTTGACCTTGCAAACTCGTCTCGAGGAGTGCGAGGAGTAGTAGGGTGTCGAGGCCCGACTACTTCAGACTTGTGTCCTACAGAAGCATGCGCTGGCATTGACGGTGACCTGGCTTGCGGTAGCCTTCCCTGCTGCAACGCTGCTGGTAACAGGTCTGGAGTGACATCATCCATATCGAAGGGTAGATCGTCTCCTACATCGTTTGGAACAATGGCCGGACTGGGGCTCGGAGTGCTTAGAGGAGAGTCAGCCGCTGGGTTTGGGAGGGGTGACTTCTGGTAGGAAGATGTCTGCTTGTCTAGGCTTCCAACTCTAAACTTCGTAGCCGAGGTATGGCGTTCCTCATCTTCGCTCAGCCTCGATCTCAGTCTCATCGAATCAATTCTCCGCTGCCGACAGAGCTCAATGTTCTCAAGAAGCTCGGGATAGTTCTCAAGAAGTTCTTCTTCGGCTCGCTCACTGCGTGCAAAGGGCAGGAAAGCCAACTGGTTCGCTTGCACAACATCATCAAGCTCAGTCAAGAGGTCTTCATCCAGCTCGTCCAAAAGTCTCATCTCAAGCATGCTTTCAAGGTTGAGGCAGATGTACTCGAGCGCTGCGTGTTTAAAAGAATCGACTGTACATTCGGAGACGGTGTTCAGCAGAGAGCAGACGTTTCTCACATTGACAAATTTGCCAAGGACTCGTTGACATACTTGAGCAAGGCGATCGATCATCAGCTCATTGGCAGCAAACATGACGTCGATAACGATATCGATGAATTCATCCAAGCTGTCCGTAACAACATCATCGAACAGCCCCTCACCAGTATCTGCGTAGAGATGACGAAGCACCATGCTAAAGGTCTTCTCATTCATATGCTTCAGATCAACTCTCACCGCTTCAGACTCTTCTGCTGCGGCATGGCGTCGGGAAGCCATCCACATCCCCCCGGCTCGTCCATTGAACAAGCCATCAAAAAAGGGGCATCGGGAGCATAAGAGCACGCTGTGTGCTGGCAGCGCTATACCCCCTGCGAGTTCAACAAGCACGTCTGCGTCAGAGAAGAACTCAACGTCAAGCACAGCGACTTCCATGTCGTTGTTCAAAGTCCGTGGAGGCTCGGTCATAATTCTGACTGCGCGCTCAAGGTGTCTGAGCTCAAGATGGCTTGCTATCTTCATCAGCTCGAGTCGAACTAATCGGTAGCGGGCAGCAGATTGCAAAGCTTTGGAGGTATAGTGCCACACATCTGCGATGTTCTCGGTGTAGAAATACAAAACGAGGTTGGCGATCGTCAAGAAGTCAGCACCGTGAAAGATGAGCTGAATTTGCCCATCGGGGCCATACTCGATTGACAAAACATCAGGAATAGTATAGTAGTAAGTCTCCTGAAATTCTGTCAATGCACTACGCAAGACTCGGCTGCGTGCTTTGAGGATGAACCCGTGAGTGGGAATGCGCACATCCGTCGTGTTGGATGTTATCCAGAGGTTGAATTGACTGTCAGGCAATAACGGGTCGTGACGTTTGCAGATGTTCAATATATCTTGTTCGGCATTGGCCTGAGTAATGAGCGCCGATCGGATTGAAGCCGAGTGAACGGAATCGCCTTGTGATTCCCCATACCGAGCGAACACCAACAGTGGAAATATATCGTCCCACAAAGATGGCGGGTCCAATACAATCTGCTCGCGTGTAACCGCACAGTCTTTCCGTATTGCCATAAAGGCTCCGAAAGCATTGCTCCTTACAGCAATTGCGCGAGTCAAGTTGGGAACCCGGACAAATTTGTAATCTTTTGTTCTCGCAAGTCCCGTATGTTTTTCTCGAACCGATTTTATATTTGCTCGCTTCTCCTTTCGCCAAACCGAACCAGAGGCGGTACACAAGACTATTGAACCATCCTGGCCAACGGCGACGTCGATAGCCGACATATGCGATTTCCGAATGGACCACAGCCGTGTTGGTGGCGCCAGGGCGTTACGAGCCTTTGTCGGATTCGTTGTTGAAGTATTAGACGGAACGTTCTCCGAGACCTTTGGCACATCAATAGAGTAAACTTCACCAAAAGAGGACATGGCACAGATCGTATTGCCACCTCCAGTAATCTGTTTGATATAATTCGTCTCCACGTTGAGCCTGGTGGCAGTATTTTCTTGAAGATAATAGTTACTGAACGTCTCAAGAGGGAAAAGTACTTTGGTCCAGCCATAATGTGTGAAGACAATTACATCGTGCGTAGCCAGCAAGACAATTGTCGCGCGATCGATTGCGCTGACAGATTGTATCGGAGATTGCAAAATGGAGACGCCAACGCGGCGAGGGAGGTCTTGCAGGTCCAGTGATCGTGCATCCGCATCCATCAAACCCAGTTGACCTTCATTTTTGCCAAATGTGTACAGCGCAGTCGACGTGAAAACTGCCGAATGTATTGCTGAGGCTGCTGCGCCAAGAACAAGCTCTTTCTTGATATAACCGTATACTTGGCGCGGAGTTAATTGCATCGGTATCTCATTTTTTGGAACTTCTGGAAGAGAATAACCTAGTTGACCATGTCGGTTGCTGCCCCAGGTATAGACTTCGCCTTGGGAGCAAACAGCCACAGTGTGGTCCTGGCCAAGAGCTACTGCGGAGACATGTCTCTTGGACAGACCCCCAGCCTGGATGCACTTGTAGGTGAACGAGGTGTTCTCGTCCCCTGTACCCAAACGACCCCCTGCCCCGAATCCGCACATGTAGAGGTTGGAGATCGGGTCAGTGGTCAGAACTGCAGTGTGTAGTTTAGACATGACCACATTCTGAATGGTGATAGGCTTGTAACGAACTATAGCAGGGAGACCTTCTTGGGAACGAAGGTGCCCTATGCTACTTGTCAGGTCGTCATCAGCAACGGATCCTTGCCTTGTCGCTTGGTGATCGTCAAGCAAGCGGCGAAGTAAGTGATCAGGCCTTGAGAAATGTAGTCGCTCAGGGAACTGTCGATCGTCGCCGTCTCCGACGCCTAACGAAAGATTCTTGTTGCTACCAAAGGCGTAGACTTCATCTCCATCCAGACTGACCTGAGGATGCACATGAGGTCTGTGTCGCTCATGATCTTGAGCGTCATTGTAGTCCATGCTGATGACACTTTCATTGTCATCAATCCCGGCTGGCAGGGTTGAGGATTCTTCTTGAAGCCGACGAGGAGCAATGGTTAGGCCAAAGACTTCGAAGGGACTGTTGCCCTCGTGGTCTTTGATCTTGACCAGACCGCCGGCATGAGTACGTGCGGTATTGGTGGTGTAGTCAGTCGCATCCTGAATATCGCGAGCCATCAGGGCCTGGGCTACAGAAATGTTGCCAAAGTACAAGGCCCGGTGCAATGCAGTCCATCCCGATTCCGTGTCTTGTGCGTAGAGATCGATGAGTGGCAACTCCAGCAGTGCCTTTACAAACGGCAATGAATGTTGGGACTGTATAGATGCAGCATGATGCAGCAACGTCCTACCGAAGTTGTCTTTCGAGTTCAGTTCCGCCCGCGTAACAATGACACCACCGACCTTGCCGGCACCTGCGCTTGAGGGAGCGTATCCGGAACTCTTTCGCGCTTTGAGAGGTGTCTTGGGCGAAATGGCGAGACTACCTGGACTGCCAGCTTTCAATGTGGAATACCCTCCTTGTCCAGCTGCAAAAGCTTTTGGCACAGTGGCGGCGACGGTGGCGTTCGCCAGGTACTGTCGAAATGAATCGACATCGTCTTCGAGAAGATAGCGCCAGAGATTTGGGCTCATGTGGTATCAAGGATTGTACCTGCCTCCGACGCCGGTGACTGCACCTCGCTGTGACCTCGACTGGATCACGGCTTGTTTAAAGGCGCGTTCGACGGACAGAGGGGAGGGGTGTTGGTTACTATCGGATAGCGTTGAGTCAAGCGCTCATCTTCGGATTTTCGAGCGGACTCTGGGGATGGCACAGCGGTGAGTCTGGGTGGTATGGAGGATAGATGCGCGTATTAGACGTCGACGTAGTTGTTTGGGCGATGAGAAGGAAATGAGTCGAGGAACTTGGGAGGAGATGGAGGGGTGATGCGCATAGTGATGTCGCGACGCACGCTGCGTGTGCGATAAATGTGCGGGACAGTAGCAGGTCGAGGCAGCCTCTTGCCGGCCAATCAGACTGCCTCGTGCTGCGACGAGCCGCGGGCGATGACAGAGCCATTTTCCGCGCAAGGGTGTCAACAACAACTCTGACATGAACAGTGCGCGTAAAGTGTGGAAACGAAAGGGAAACAGACGTCTATGTACAGTGTATATGTGTCTGCATCGACCAGAGGACCGCGTAAAGGTCGACGCGCTCGGTACACCGCAATTTGCAGGGAAGGCGGAATGCGGGTGAACCAAGGACCTCGTGGGTCCTTTTAAGCTCGTACATGTACAGCACGATCGTCTTTGGTAGTGCGCAGGGAACCGCCTTTGGGCGATCCTTGACCATCCCCTTGCGATGTCTCACGTTCCTCATCTCCTGCAAGTTGCAATGAGGCGACGTGTTGACGTCCGAGACTCATCGTCAGATCCCCAAAATACCAGCAGCCAACCCTAACCCGAGTAACACCACTCCCGGCGTGGCGGCGTTCGCTGATCCAGAGGACGACGATGTCGCAGCCGAGCTTCCTCGGGTCACACTCACGCCAAGATTGAATGTCGGCGTGCCTGCTAAAATCGTGGAACCCTGTGCACTTGCCGTAGGTACGGCTGGTAATGCAGTCGTCGCGGCCCCTGAAAGCTGAGTACCGGTGGCAGTGGCCGTCACTGAAGCTCCCGGAATGCTTGTCCCTGACGGTATGGCTGCGATACTGGAGACGTCGGTCTTGTTCTCAACCGCTTGAGCCAAAGCCGCAAGATTGTTATCAAGGTCAAAAACAGCGTAGGCACTCCTGAGGAAGGTGTCCCCAAGAATCGAAACTCCGTCAATTGGAGGACCAAAGCCAAAGTCACAACCACCGGACTTGTCGCCGAAATCCTGTGGTGGAATGTCCAGGCCCCCAACAAGTTGTGAGATAGGGACGCTGATATTGATGCCACCCTCGCCGCCGAAATAGTAGTTGATACTGCCATCTGCAGTTGCATAGCTACACGGAACGACGTAATCATCGTCCCCAATACCAACAGCCCCAAACCCATTAACTATAGCCGAGAACACCTCGTCAGTGAGGAGAGTTGCGCTAGTGCCCGAGTCGAGTAAGACTGCCTGAGCGTAACCTTGTGGTGTCAACTGCGTTGTAGAGCCAGCATGGTCGGTGAAAGAGACCCCAGTCAGTGTCACATAGAACTCTGTCACACCACCAGTTGGGCCTTGCTGAAAGTATGTCAAAGTTAATATCGACCAAACAGAAAACCCAATACGTTCTCACCTGGAAGGGCAAAGCGATCAGGTCGCCTGTATACTTGGAAGTGTCGATTCCGCCGAATATGATAGCACCGGTATTTGCTTGAAGGTCGTTTAGATACAGGCTGTAAGCTTTCCGATCGATGATGCCGTTCGACTTCAAATTGTCCAGGACTGTTGGGTACACGTTTTCTGGATTGTACGCTTCATTGGTATCGTAGCCGATGCCCATCACTCCATGCGAATCAACAAGGGATGTAGCCAGTCCAAACTGTTGGTTTTTGATAGAGGGCGATCCTCCAACTGTTACTGTATCCATTGCCCAATCGCCTGCATCGGAGTCGCCGGGTCCGGCATAGGTCTCCCAGAACGTCAGTCTCGACTTGTGTATTTGTTCCGGCGGACAATCCTCTTACGATATTAAAGCCATCCTGTTGGACAAGCTTGTACGTGCTTGATCGTGTCCGTGTGAAGCTGCCCTCATCGCATTTTCCCTTCTTGCACAGAGTACTTGAGGATGCCGGAACCCAAAGGTCCGATGAACCAGTGTCCAATGTTACAGCAAGACTCTGTGGAGGCGTGCCCACCGTGATGTTGACCAAGTATTCAAGTTTGGTGGTGGCTTGGGTTAAAATGGCATCCACAGTGCCATCCACTGCTCTCTGAGCCAGCCATGCTTCGTGTTGCCGCCGTTTCTGGAAATCGAGCTTAAGATAACCAGGGGAAGCTAGACAAGAGGTAACGAAGGTCAATCCGGCCAACGCTCCTGCAACATACATGGTGGACGCGAGGGTTGGTGCGACAAACAAAGGCACATCCGACGGCTGGAGACAAGGTTAAGAAGACAAGCAAAAAGGCTTGTATTTAGTTGATGCTTGACCAGTCGACGGCGGGCCATGACGTGCACCTCGACTGTACGCGTAGAGGCAATCTGCTGGAGAGTTTCGGCGAAACAAATGCGAGAATAATGGAGTGGTAGGAGAGCAACCTCATCCAGGGGAAACTGCAAGGGGAATAGATACGCGAACCGGGTGGGATCCCCTTCACAGAGTTAACTTTTTTGAGACAATGATGATAACTTTGGGGGCCACTTAGGGAGGTTCGACAGCCTATTGCTGATACAATAGGCGCTCGGGGAAGTAACTTAAGGTACCGGTAGAGGCTTGGTGAGCCTAGTGAGCCCTAAGTTAACTTAGTTACTGCCATGTCAGTCAGCCAGCTTAGTAGGCCAGCCGATGACGAGAGCATCAGTGACTGGCCAGTGCAACATTCAGCATAAGGTAGTGAGCATAAAACGCCATTGCAGCATCAAGGGACTTTTAGTCGTCATCCACCTACGAGTACCTAACGTACGCACAATGATAAAGACTCAAACTGAGTTTCTCCTTATCCTGGTACCAAATGTTGGATGTCTCTTCCTTCTACGGAGGAGATGACGTGGACTTGACCAGATGCAGAAGCCTGATCTTCTCTTTTGTGAGAAATGAGAGCATTTTGGTGAGCCAGCAATGCCGCGTCCGATACCAGATAGGCCAGACGTCCTCCAGCCTTCAATCTCCTATTCTCCTAACGATCTCACTGTGTGTTTTCGGTGCCCTCTGTCAGGAAAATGGGCAGTAGTATTTGCTCTCATTCTCGGATCCTCAGTTATGACCCGACCTCAATCGGCCCAGATCAAGATGGGTTTGATTGTTCGACCATGGTGCATATCATCAATGGCCTGGTTCACCTCCTTGTATGGGTAGGACCTGGTAAGTCGATCGATAGGGAATCTACCCTGCCTCCAGAATTCCGCCAACGCTGGAATGAACTGCAATTTGATCCAGGGTCAGTCAGTACACATTATTTCCGCATCCTTCTGCACGCGTATCTCGCCCTCTGGACATACCTGTTGAGGCACCGATGAACCTTGACAAGATCCAATGTAACTGACATTCCGCTGGAGCCAAGTCGATGGCTCAATTTGGACGTGCTGTCCAGCAGGCACACCGCCGACTGTGGCAGCGATCCCACTGTTTGCTGTCGATGCTATCATTGCTTGAACCACCGCAAGTTTGCCAGTCCCGTCCAAAGCATAGTCGACGCCGTCACCATCTGTCACGGAATGGATAAGCTCGACAATATCACGTCCCTTGGAGTTCAGGACATGTGTTGCACCCAAATCTCGAGCCATTTCCAGTCTCGAATCCACGATATCGACGGCGATGATCTTTGTGGCGGGAGTGAAGTTCTTCGCGGCCATCTACAAACACATCAGCGTCTTTTTCAACCCGTGCGGAAAACCAAGGAGTATCGAACGTAGCATCAACATCAGTGGCGTTCAAGACAGGGAAACAAGCTGCACTGAGGCTGACTAGGCCAGGTCTTGCAGGGCTGGGGATAACATGGTAGTCTGATTGCACAAATCTTGTACATCACTTACGACGGCCGCCAGTCCTACACCACCAACACCAAACACAGCAATCGAGGATCCGACATGGGGTTTGAGGACGTTTAAAACAGTGCCCGCGCCCGTTTGTATTCCACACCCAATGCAGCATAGGATATCCAACGGCAGCGTCTTATCGACTTTGACCGCGCAAACCCCACGCACAATGGCCCTCTTCGCAAAGGAAGACTGGCCGAAATAGGCCGAGTTGATATCTTCATCATTGTATGAGAACGTCCTCGTGCCATCCAATCGTGAGCCACCAAAGTTTAATCTTTCCGCGTGCTTGCAGTACGAGTATTTGCCTCGTCGGCAAGGTGTGCACTCCAGGCAGGCATTATACGTTAGTAACACATGATCTCCAACACCGACATGCTTGACATCTGCCCCGACTTTCTCAACAATACCAGACCCTTCATGACCCAAGACTGCGGGTAGACCTGGCCCTTTGAAACCCTGCAAGGCGGTGAGCGAAATGAATCAAGACCTAGGCATATCATCTACCCACATGCGCTGTTGCCAAATCGGTATGGCAAATGCCGGTGGCTACCATCTTGACCACAATCTCGTCGCTGCGCATTTCCTTCAGTTGAAGCTCCTTTAGCTCGAACGGCCCGCCCAGTTGGGACACGACAAGAGCTTCGGTACTCCCGAGGATACTCTGCTCATTATTGTCCCCGTGTCCCAATAATGCCATGGTGTTTATTCTCGCGTCGATTCCTGGATGCAACTTGGTGCGTTATAGCTATCAACGACGATCGGGGTTGATTTGCTTGCTTTTTAAAGACGGGATATCGTACATCACCTTGGGGTGCGGGGCCATTGCGAGTATTTACAAACTAATAGTAAACCGCTTGCTCAAGGGCTGATCCTAGCCCCTCGCCGACCCCCCAAATTGTGGACTCTCCGGGCGTTCCTGAATGTCACACCTTCGTAAAACTGTGTACGAAGAACTCGAGCTTCCGGCTTTACCTGTGAACGTTAAGAATTCAACATATAAAGGACATAAGACGAGGTTGCCTTAAGCGACGAGATCAAATTCCAGCTACAGACTCTATGTACCACGCAATCCGGCACGCTAGTTCAGGGCTTCCCAGTAAATACACCGCCATCAAATTGTGCAACATTCTTTTCCAGCTTCTGTGTTTCCGGTGAGGCACTGCTCAAGAACGCTTCTTGTCGTTCTTCGCATTTGACTTGCCAAAAACAATCTCATCACGAGCCCACAGAGCCACTGCTGCAGCACCACATGGACCTAGCACCGCAGCCAAGACTCCAATCTTGACAGCTTCGACGAAAAATTGAAAGGCTGTTGTCTTTCCCTGCTTCGCCGATGCACGCAGCGTGAGACCCCAGAGCAAGGCAGACGTGACTCCAACGACAATATCCCATTGCAAGAACCAGAGTGCACCATCCGCCAGGACGGTAACCTTGTGCGGACCGAACGGCCAAACCGGCACGAATATATGAGCCGGCTGCAGTTGTGGGAGATACTCTGCGCTGAACAGGACAGGAAAGGCGTAGGCAAGGAGTGACAAAGTCCACGCTCCGAGGTGTGAGCTCGCAGACGATAGAATTGCGAAGGCGTAAGCTCGACGCAAGTACTTGATTGTCTTCGCCCTCTTGTCAGCCTCGGTAAGGATCGACGCGCGTTGGTCGAGAATTATTGCCGCTGTCGTCAAGATGAACTGTGTGATGCCTATCCAGATAGACCAACCCTGCTGGATAGCCGTCCAGGTCTGCTTGGTCTCGAAGGAAACAACACTAGGTGCTGGCAGGCACATGAGCAGTGAAGGAAGCCCGAAGCCCACGAGAATGCTGATCGGCACGATGGCTAGCTTGACCGGGACATCGACGATGAGTTGGTAGTCCTTCGGATTGGTGGCAGTTGGCGACAGCCACAGGTGGAGCGCAAACCACAAGGGCGCTACGCATGCATACCCGACGATTGCGACGCCGACTCCAAATAACGTCGTGCTGTATCTCACATCAGTGAACTGGTGCCAGGGTGGTGCGGTTGCCTGATTCACAGCGGGAACTTACGCTGTGAGCAAGAATTTGCCCCGGTTGCCCACTCGGAGGCCTTCGATCATGATGAGAACCCAAGAGGCAAGGACTTGGCCTCCCAGGTCGAGGAATGAGAGTGACACGTCTGCACGGTTTCCATCAATCGCTGTATAGAAGAAGCTGACCAGAGTCGTCAACTGCTTATCGACCGGTCCAATCCCGGTGTAAGTCTGTTTCATCGGTGCTATGGTCGGGCCTGGAATGACTGCGCCAGGTTGGCTTTGTCTCCCCAAGATCTGGAGAAGGCCATTTTGGTATGGAAACACCCAAAGAGTCCAAAATCCAGCGATGGATAGGGAAATCAGCAAAAGTTGTGACGTGGTAAATGCCATTCTCGGGTTTCAGGGGTAGGTATAGGTAGCTAAATATATGCAGGTTGATGGCTTCAGACTTCGCTGTGTATGTTGTGTCCGGTCCAATGTGGGTAGCCTTGTGAGACTATGAAGGAGAGAAGAAATGGTGTAGTCAATGGAGGTTGTGAGAAGTTCAAATAGCTGATGACTAGGCGTCGGCGTCAGGCAGACAGCTGTTCGAAAAGGAACGTCAAAGCTCAGCCGCAGCTTAGTGGCCTTCAGCCTCAGCAATCAAGACTACACGGCCAATTACGCGCCGCAGCGTTTCCCTTTGGTCACACAATGATCGCTAGAGCCAGTCGAATGATATTGCGAAGCCTCTTGTGGGCCCTATTCTTCTGCCTTCGGGCGTCGCGGGTACGAGTACAAAAAGTACATTCGGATGTACCTTGTACGGAGCACACCTTGCGAAGTGCGCTTCACCGGCTGCGGGACATTTCTGCCCGATAACACGCTATTCCACACTTGCACTAGCGTTGTTCAATCTTACATAAGCTGTACTCTTTTGAAGCACACTTGTTCATTTCCGACGTCTACTAAGGCAATCCTGGATCAAATGTGAGACCTCAAGGAGCAGCAAGGTACAAGCCGCTCCTGTTGGTTTGTGTCGCGGCATTTTGAACTCTTTGACAGGTCTGATATGCACGAAACTACGCCTGTGCGCTAACCTGGCTGTAACAACCATTCGAGAACATGAGGAGTGGCGATGAAACCAGATATTCTGCGATCCTGTCATGGTTTTCTACAAGCTTCTGGGAATGCTCAGTGTTCAACTCCGTTGGAAAGGTTAACTGCTTCTTTGTGTTATCGTCATTAACCACTTGGCGCGCCTTTGATACAGAAACGGACCGCAATCAAAGCTCCTTCTGAGAGCCCACTAGTATCACAGTCTACATACATACAATTCCCCTATGGAACCGAAAATGATTGTCTCAGGCCAACGACCTGTTGTAGCTACAACGCTTATTGCTGTATGTACAATATGTTTTCCTGAAATCGTGAGGCTGAACTATTCCTGTTTAGGCCTAGCTCGTTGTTAGGAAGCGTAGCAAATCAAACTCAAGGTACGGAGTTAGCCTAGCCTATTTTCTCCGCGCCGTATCCATACGTTCTCACTCCAAAGAACTTTTTTTCTCCAACGTGACGGACGATCCAGCTTCAATGACAATGTTGTAAACCCAAAAAGGCTGGTCTTGGACATTTTTAGTGCAGGCTTAATGCCGATATAGCTTGTATATCATTGGTGAAGCCATGGGTAAACGAAAACGTGAAGCCGATGAAGACCAAGATCACGATGACAAGGTCCAAGTTCCAGATGCAGACCCGGCCCTCTCCAACCAAATCTCACGGCTCAAAAGCAGTCTTAGCCGCGGAATCAAATCGCTGCACAGCACACTGAAGTTGGCGCGCGGGTTCGAGAGACAGAAACTCGGCCGTCGGCAGAAATCCGCAACCGACAATCCTCACCAGTTACTCCGGCTGCGCGAGGAGGTGATTGTCCTCAAGCAGCTCGACCTCGAGCGCACAGCGAAACAGTACCTCGTCAAACAGCTCGTCAGGTCGACGAGGACGAAATCCCACCCGGCAGTCGTATCTCTTTACGGACCGGATCCGCACCTCGAGCAGCCCAAATCCACGGCCGAGGGGAACGTGCTGGGACGCCTGTTCAACTCGGCACCCGTGAAGCAGGTTTTGCCGGGTCTTTTGAACGGTCTGTTCGATGTGCTTGGTGTATCGGCGCCAGGAGGAGGAAAGGCCGAGGATGGGGCCAACGATCAGCGACGCCGGACTGGTAAGAAAAGCAACGTTGGAGCTGAGCCTGAGCCTGGATCCGGATCCGGATCTGGCTTAAGCGAAAATGAACGAAGCTTGGTATTTTCTGGAGATGAGGTCGACGAGGTTCGAGACGAGTCTGACGGGTCTTTCAATGGATTTTCAGACGGAAAGTCAGGCGATGTCCACAGTGATGACGACGATGACGAGCCAGAAAGACCTGATTACATATCCGATGTTGAAATGGATCGCTTACTATCTGAACATCAAGATCGCTTGGCTTCTTCTAGTGATGACGACGAGGAAGATGGTGACGACGATAGAGACGATCTGGACCTATCGACACGCCACACCGACGGTACCACCCGTGGACGGTCATCAAGAGACGACATTGCAGTTTCCCTCAGTCCCGAACCGCAACTGTCGAGTCGATCAAAGAACACAAAGCGTGTCCAAAAAGCGGCATCAGTGGCACCGACGTCAACGTCAACCTCATTCCTCCCGTCACTCAGTCTAGGAGGATACTATTCCGGTTCAGAGTCCGGTGACGACGGCGACAACGATCGAGACTACAGCGACGGCCCACCGTCCGCCAAAACACGCAACAATCGACGCGGTCAACGAGCGCGGCAAAAGATCGCAGAGAAGAAGTTCGGCAAGAACGCCAAGCATCTCGCGAAACAGAAGGACAAACAACGAGGTCAAGACTCCAGAAACGCAGGGTGGGACGCGCAGAGGGGCGCAGTGACCGGTAAACAGCATGGCAGAGATCGGTTCCGTAACGGCAGCGGTCGTGGTGTTGGCGATGGTGGCGGCAAAGGGGACGGCAGACGAGACCAGAGGGACCAAGACGCAAGAGGGTCCAGAGCAGCGCCTCTACAACCCAAGAAACGAGATGACCAGGGCTCTCTCCATCCTTCGTGGGAAGCCGCGAAGAAGAGAAAAGCACAAGGCGAGAGTCAGCCGACGTTTGCCGGGAGGAAGATCACGTTTGACTGAGTGTTTTGCCATGGCTGTCTGTTCTGACGCGCCGAGTACAAGGCACGGTAGTGACACCACTCAACAAAACGTCGTGATGATTATTAGGCATCGTAGATCTTCAGTTCCCGGCGGTGGCAGTAGTTTCACAAGTCGAACATTTATCCTGTCCAAAATTTCGATTAGGGGCGTGTAGATTCCAGCGAAAATGAAATGGTGATGGACCTGGTAGAAGCCGGATAGATTTGCTCTCGACTATTCCGTCATGTTGGGAGCGAGTATTACATCTTCTGGCTTAGAGGCTCCTATCGGTATTGGCCAAGTCATACAAGCGATGTTATTGTCAGGACGAGCAAGATGCGGATGTGTCAAAGTACATGCAACTTGATGACGAATGACATAAAGAAGGGACTAGACCGTTATGGTATTGCCAGCAGTTCTCAGCGTTTCAAAGGGTGTACTACGTACCTACACAGATAGAAGAGGGTGAGATGAAGCAAAAGAGGTGGTGAATCCGATTTCAATCAATGCAGCCGTAGCGTCTGAGAAGCGTGATGTGCATTCGAATAACGATTCCTTCTCAAGTCCATATTGCGTTGTTCAATCTCGCTGGAAGCAGAGTACTATATCATCTCCTACCAGATCTCAAACTACCAGTCGGTAGTTTTCTTCAGTTTTTCATTCTGGATGATCTCAATCCAGTAGTCATCCGGATCCAACACAAAAGCCACGTTCTTCATTCTGCCATCAGTCAACCGCTTCTTCCAGTTGACTTGTTTACCTTCCATGAACTGGCACGCCTTGTCGAGGTCGTCGACACTAATGCAGATATGTCCAAATCCTTGAGGCTCATCGTTACCGTTGTGGTAGACTTTGCCTTCTTGTGTCTCGGTGCCGTAGTTCCAGGTCAACTCCAGCAGACCTTCCTTATTAGCTAGAGGATTGACTCCATTCGGGGTATCTTCTGGCTTGGGAACGGCAAAGTCGCCCGGGTACCCAAGAAAGTACAGGTTGAACTTTGCCTCCTTCTGCTCCGAAGTACGAAGTAGCGTCATACCCATGACGTCTTGATAGAACTTGAGACTCTTCTCAGGATCCTTGACCCGAATCATGCTATGGTTAAATCGGTATGCTGATGTGTCGGTAGTGGTGAGATCCTTGGTCTCATCCACGTTCTTTTGCCCGATTATCTCGACCCAGTATCCGTCAGGATCAAGGGCAAACGCGATGTGTCGCATGCGCCCATCCGTAAGTTTCTTTTGGAACTTGTAGCCCGCATCCTCGATCCGCTGACAGGCGGCTTGGATGTTGTCCACGCTCACACAAATGTGCCCAAAGCCCTTGTGGGGGTCTTTATTGCCGTTGTTGATCGTAAAGTTTTCGTCCTTCTCAGTGCCGTAGTTGTGGGTGAGTTCGAGGACACCTTCACGGTCAGTCCAGTGGTTGCCGGGAGAAGCAGAATGAGGGCCGTCGTAGGCTGTGATGTAGTTCAGTAAATGGAACCTTCGTCCTGTGTGAGCTCGATGCGACTCACCCAAGAAGTACAGGTCAAACTTGTTATCTGGGAATTCGAGCTTGTTGACCAGACTCAGGCCCAGTAGTTTGTAGTAGTCGAGCGACTTTTGGGGATCTTTCACCCGCAGCATGGTATGATTGAACTTCCATTTCGACTGGTCGACCATTGTGGCGTGTGACCTTGTTCTCGTGGATAGAGATAACTCTGTTTGAGATGCAGGTACTGGGAGGTAGTTGGCCAACTGTTTTAATCGAGCTGTGACGCGAGAGACCATGGGCTTCAGAGAGAGTGCGTGATTTTGTCAAGGACAAAATCTTTGCATCATGGACAAAATGTCACGAATGGAGTTATGTGTTCACAGGGGGAGTATGTCCGTATGAAGTTAACCTGAACTGTTCATCGTGTCTTGATCCCTCCATGATTGGATCCTCCGCCGTTTTGGTGGTGATGAAATCAAGCAACGACGTGGGGCTTAATGTTCGTATAGCAGCTTTTGCAATAGGGAGAGATGGAAGGGCAACGATGCCTCACTATCCACGCTAGTCTGCAACGGGAAGGAGAGGGGGCAAAAATGACGCTAAGACCGTCACGAGTGTCTGACAGATTCATGAGAAGCTCCAGAATTATCATTTTCCTCTCTTCCAGAGGAAAAGACGCGCTTGTCAGACAAAACCTCCCGATGCTGGTCGGACTTCTTCCCCTTCCCTTCAGTGCCTGCACCGTTCATTTCCTGCGTTTCGGTTACTACCCGTGTCGCACTTCTCCTTCATCGACTCCCGGCACGCAAAGCACGCGGTACAGACCCGATGAGAAGCCCTTGAACATAGCATCAAGGGCGTCCAGAATCTTTCAAGACGCCGGTGATACCCAACCAGCGTCCCGGGAAAGCTCCCACTTCCCCCACAATCGCAAACCTCGGTCTTTCTCCGCTTGCTCCAGTACTCTCTCGGTCTAATTCACCATTTCTGTCTATTTCCTTGCTGCTCGTGTCTTGACCGTTTCCTTATATAATATAGGTTTCCTGCTTCAGGTGTCAATTCTCGTTGTGAAGAAGCTAAAAGGGCCGCAACTCTGTGGATGAAAGTCTCGAATCTCCTCTCTGCCCGTATACCTGAGTCCGCGTGTTGTCCTTCCTTGCATCCTCGATAATGTCCTTTTCACCAGCAATCCGAGTTGCAAGGTCAGCTGCGCAGAGGTCGACCTCTCTGCTGCGAGCCATTCAGTACGGTCACCCTCCAAACTGTCCCTGCCATTCGAATCCCAACTTTCACCATGCTCCATCAGTATTCGGTGAAGCCAAGAGACGATTGGCCACCCCGATCGACTATTCGCGGACAAAGGAATATGCCTTCGAGATGGCGGCATCGTCAATTCGCTTTGGGCCAGGCTGTACAAAAGAGGTGGGCATGGACATGAAAAACCTGGGGGCCAAGCGGGTGTGCGTGGTGACGGATGCGAACGTGTCCAAGTTGAATGCAATGAAGCAGGTGATTGAGGGACTCAACGCGGAGGGAATCGAGTTCACCGTGTACGACAAGTGCCGTGTGGAACCCAAAGACAGCTCTGTAAAGGACGCAATCGCCTTTGCCAAACCATACCAACCAGATGCGTTCCTGGCTGTGGGAGGTGGCTCGGTCATTGATACGGCCAAGCTGATGAACCTGTATACTTGCTATCCTGAAGCAGACTTCTTGGACTTTGTCAATGCTCCGCTAGGAAAGGGCCTGCCTATTACGAAGAAGCTCAAGCCTCTTGTTGCTGTGCCCACCACAGCCGGTACAGGCTCAGAGACCACGGGCACCGCCATCTTCGACCTGGTAGAGAAGCGAGCGAAGACCGGCGTTGCGCACAGAAATCTCAAGCCAACGCTGGGCATTTGCGACCCGCTGAACACCCGAACGATGCCATCTGCCGTGCATGCTTCGTCAGGTCTGGATGTGCTCTGCCACTCGCTCGAGTCTTGGACTGCCATCCCGTACCACGAGAGATCTCCCAGGCCCACAAACCCGATTAACCGACCGGCTTACCAAGGTGCGAACCCCATTTCCGACATCTTCTCCTTGAAGGCTTTACAATCCACGGTGAAATACCTACCGCGAGCCACCAAGGACCCAGAGGACTACGAGGCTCAAAGCGAGATGTTGCTCGCAGCTACCCTTGCCGGCGTCGGCTTCGGCAACGCAGGCGTCCATCTCTGCCACGGCATGAGCTATCCCATCAGCGGCCAGAACCCCGGCTACAAGCATTCAGGATACCAGATCGACACACCCATCATACCCCATGGTGTAAGTGTTGCTGTGACGGCGCCAGCTGTGTTCAAATTTACTGGGCCCAGCAACCCTGACCGTCACCTGGCAGCCGCCGAGTGCTTTGGGAAGGACATCTCCAACGCCAAAAAGGAAAGCGCGGGAGAAATCCTCAGCGAAGCGCTCGCTGAGTTCCTCATCAAGCTTGGAGATCAGCCTCGAGGATTGAAACCCCTGGGTTTCACGAAGGAGAGCATTGATGATCTGGTTGAGGGCACTCTCCCCCAGAAACGGGTTCTGATGCTGGCACCAAGTCTGAGCGAGGAGATCAACCAGGAACGAGAACAGCTGCGAGGCTTGTTCGAGGAGGCTCTGGAGTACTAGGCTAGACTTACATGGCTCCGAGCCGACACAAAGTATGTCATTCTGGTCGAGCTCACATGTAACTGCTGTGTGGGTTTTTGTCTGGACCTTTCCCCGGATCGAGTGCCCACTGAGGGGGAGCAAATCGTGGGGAGCGACATCGGCCAGTCGATGCCCCGCGACTCTCACTCTCCCCCCATTGACACTTCAGTACTTCTTCCTGCTGCCATCTGGTAGGATTGTCTTTTGCAGCTGACGCGAAAAATTCAGTCTTAACGAATCAATGTGGAGGGGGCGTGTATGTCTACTTGGAATTAGTTGCTACTTGTACCGTGACCTTTTCCTCACTTGCCTGCACTCTTGTTGCTCAACATTGTCTGCATTCGGGACAAAAAGGAATACATAAAATTGGTTCTCAGAGGTTTCCGGTCTCTTCACATCCGTCTCCATCTGCATCCTCTGTCATTGGCGTCGCAAGAAAAGGGCTAGAATTCAATCGAGTAAGTTTGTCATACCTACACGTGTGTTCATCGCCTGTGACACCGCCATTTCATTTTGATTCTGTCGATCTCCCTCGCTTTGCGGCTTCCGACAACGTTCCAAAAGATGGCAGCCACAAACGGACACAGTGGTCGTCCTCGAGTTCTTTGTCCTGAGAAACTCTCCCAGGATGGCCTGGCACTTCTTCGCCAAACATTGAACGTCGATGAGAAGAAGGGATTGACGCCGGAGCAGCTTGTCGAGATAATTCCGGACTATGACGCTCTCCTTGTCCGCTCGGAGACAAAAGTCACAGCAGATCTTCTCAACGCCGCACGGAAACTCAAGGTCGTTGCTCGGGCTGGGGTGGGGGTCGATAATGTCGACGTTCCTGCGGCCACGAGATTGGGCATTGTCGTTGTCAATTCGCCTAGTGGGAATATTCAAGCTGCTGCAGAGCATACAATAGCCTTGCTGATGAGCATGGCTCGGAAAGTGCCTGATGCTTGTGCTAGTGTCAAGGCTGGAAAATGGGAGAGGAGTCGGCTGGTTGGTGTTGAGGTCAAGGGAAAGACACTTGGAGTGGTTGGTTTGGGCAAAGGTACATTATCCCAGGCCTGTACCCTGATAGACCTATATTGTCTAGGTCTCCTCCGTGCCACAGAATGCGAATACTGACACGACTCGGTAGTTGGCCTCATTGTAGCACGGATGGCTCGTGGACTAGGCATGAACGTTATTGCCGCTGACCCATATGCCTCTGCGTCTGTCGCAGCTGCTGCCAACGTCACCCTCGTCGACTCACTCCCGGCTCTGCTTCCTCAAGTCGACTTTCTCACCATCCACACCCCAATGCTAGCTTCGACACGTGGTATGTTGTCCTCTTCTGAGCTCAGCACCATGAAACGCGGTGCTCGTATCCTCAATGTTGCGCGAGGTGGTATCATTGACGAAGTTGCCCTCCTTGCCGCCCTTGAGAGTGGGCAGATAGCCGGTGCAGCTATTGATGTGTTCACCACCGAGCCCCCAGCACCAGACAGCGTGGCTGCGAAGCTTGTTGCACATCCCGGATGTATCGCGACGCCACATCTCGGGGCAAGCACAGTCGAAGCACAGGAGAACGTGTCCATCGATGTATGCGAACAGGTCTTGCAGATACTCGCCGGAGATCTGCCCAGGAGCGCAGTCAATGCGCCCATCATTTTGCCAGCGGAATACAAGACACTCCAGCCCTTTGTGAGACTTGTTGAGAAGTAAGTACTCGACGGTGCATTGATCGAGGTTCCCTTTCGTTTATCGGAACTGACTCCCTGCATTTGACACAGAATGGGGTCACTCTATACCCAGCATTTTACGTCCCCCACCCAGCCTGTCGGCCACAATCTCAATACCTTTGATCTGATCTACGAGGGTGAAATCGCACAAATGTCCAGCACGAAGCCGCTCTTCGCAGCACTAATCAAGGGTCTCACCTCTCCCATCTCCGACGCTGAAGGTTTCAATGTGAACATTGTCAACGCGGAAATGGTGGCCAAGGAACGGGGAATCTTTGTTAATGAACAGAAGAGCCGCGATCCGAACATGCTGGCTTACTCGAGTCTTGTCACGATTGTGGCGAAGAGTCCTTCGCGAGCGCCGAGTCTGAACCGTGCTGGGAGAACAACATCCCTGGGAGCTATGGAAGGGCAAGGGCAAGGGTCGAGCAAACAACACGTTATCGCGGGATACTGTAGCGACAATACGCCCTTTATTTCACGTGTCGATCGCTTCTCCACGAGTTTCGTGCCTGACGGAACGCTCCTGATATGCCATAACTACGACTCGCCGGGAAAGATTGGACTCGTGGGAAGCATTCTGGGCAGGGAGGGCGTGAATATTAATTTCATGAGCGTCGCCCCGGCCACGTTTGCCAGCAGTGCACAGACGCTGCCAGCTGAAGAAACCAATGAAGCGCTGATGATTCTCGGTGTGGATAAGGAGGTTGGTGAGCATGTCAAACAGGAGCTTGTGAGTGCAAAGGGAGTGTTGAACGTTAGCAGCGTGACGTTGTGACAGACTGCGCGCTGTTCAGGCCTCTTACGCAAGGACAAGGACCATCTCCCCTTGAAACAGATCATCTCTATAGACAAAAGTGTCGAGAGGAGCATCCAGGAACGTGGTATTGTCGACCCGTCAGGGTAGGGCGAATACTGCTCATCACTGGCTCGACAAGGTTCTGAGCGAGCACTGTTGGCTACGAAGCTAGACAGATCATCCTACTCGATAATTGATAATGAACAGAGCCCGAAACAGATACCGAGAGTGAATTACAAGAGACCTGTCTACCGAATCGGACCTCAAAGTGGGATTATGTATCCGACCTTCATCAAACCTCGCACCAATCGTTCTCGTTGTGCCCCTTTTTCGCTTATGCAAGCCTGTCCGGATCCCGAGGTTATCTCTACTAAAAGGTCAATCGCATCCTCGCCTAGCCTGACGTACATTTAAGTTAACCTCTGGAGAAGAACATTTTCGCCCCCTTCTGCATCATATATTCGTTACAATCTGAGTGTGCTGGATTCCGGACGGTCCGTGCAATTGCTTGTCGTCTACCTACCCACCTGATCAACGACTTATTGTTGTCTCCCATCGCCCTCCTATCACCGTCAACCGCGGGAGTGAGGCCAACTGTGAGCTCAAAGGATTCTCGGTTACTTTGGCAACAGGTACCCCAGATTCGCTGGTATGGTCGGCCTGGTGTTGAGATTGCCGAGTCTGTCCGAGTCCGAAAACGTCACTCGAACTCTAAAGCAGGAACACGCCGCGGTGCCTGTACCCGTGGCGCCGGTAGCGGATGATGTTTGCCGAATCATTTAATACTTTGTAACGGTTTCTCTTAATTCGAACTTGTGGCTTCGAAACTATCATTCAAGTGCCGTACTGTACGCGTTTACGCGAGCAAATGGCAAGCTTATCACAAAGTCAACAAAGCCATTGCCGACACGCTAGCCACAGCGTCAACAACTCATATACCTTGGGATCCACGGCTATCATGAGTTGCTTTTGCCAACTAAGACGTTGCATCATGCAGCAGCAGCAAAGAGGGTCAGATACCACACTATCGCTTTCTCTCTGCATGCAGTTCCCCAACGGTCGTACGCTTAAAACCGTGCCAGATTAGGAGAAGGGTTGTCGGAGGCGTCCGTGTATGCAGCTTGGTCGGTTTCCACACGCAAACATATGGTCAGTAAGTCGTGCCATGGGGTATTCCATTTAAGCCATGGGAATTGAGAGTGCGTTGACCGTGGAGGTGCCTGAAGAAGAGATAACCAAAGTAGGTCCAAAGACTATGTCCTGAGAAGTCGAGGTAGGTCTTGGTTCACGCGACTCGAAACATTCCCAGGCTTTCCTAGCACCATGTGTGATCTGAAATTGTCAAGTGCAAAGGTGCTTGCTGCTTCTCCTGTGTCGTATGTCCGAGATGTGGCTGATGCGGCAGTCAAGGAGACATGTACGGGCCCGACCGGCGAAGAAGCAGCCTATCACTACGACGAGAGACGAGGTGAACGATTCTCGTACAGTCGCCGTGGCGTGCGCTTCGATTACTGACGAAGTTTATTGCTGCACAAGGTGGAGATGACGAAGAGAGAGGGAGCCTCACCGGGGTAGGAGTTCAGTCGTTGTGTGTAGGTATGTGGTGTGGGAAACCATGTCACAGTCTCACCAAGCAGCACCGATGTGAGTGATCACGACGTATAGATATTCAGATATCGCTGTGGACTGCTGATTTGATCCCTTGAGACTGTTATTCTACCCTGAGGTGGGACTGGGTTGGTGTCGGTCGTGATCACGTGATTATCACATGAACTCTTGAGTTATGTGGCTTTTTCCCCTGAATTATCTTCGTACTCTGCCTATTGATCCTTCATACTATTCCTCTCTCCCGGTGTGTCCTTTCCACGCAAACAAGTACCTGGGCAACTACCTTCAGGCTACGCGGGCCTAGAACGCGCAAAAGATACGCCTCAATTTGACAGTGTTTTTGCGTCCTCCAGAGATGGATACCTACGTTAGAGCTAGCACTGCCAAATCCAGCAAACTTCACATGCCGGCCCGATTGGCCCCTCCGCCGTGTTCAACGCTCTCTCAAACACTACATCTGTCCTCTGTGGCCAGGGTCTTCAACGTCTCGAACTTTGAGTACATGTGAAGACGCAGCCTGGCGCCCACACAGCCGCAATCTTCTACTTTACCCAAGGATACAACAATAAATTTCCCAGGGACCCAGGCAACTCACAACTGAGGACCGCCGAGGTCGTCCGAGGCCTGACGAGGACGGAGTTGAGCCCGCGAAATGCGATTGAGATCTTTGTGGGACACTCGTGTCCGCTAGAGCGATGGTTCGACGCTTGCCCGGCCCCTTCTGAGACCCAGGCTACTCCGCTTCCAAGCATCTTGCATCATGCATATCGAGCAGACCCTACCCCTGCAGCAACTTTTGAGCCTCTTCCTTGCAAGTTTGATCCCCCCTCGAAAGTCTAATGCATCCTTGACTGGCAATCTCTCACTGCAGCCACCAACTGAGTCCTGCAGCTCAACTACCAACCGGACTGGTGGAATGACCTTTCACTACATACGACTCCCTCAACGTCGTCCAAGACCGTTTTGTGGCAAGCTGACCGTCGGAAGTCTGTTGCTACAATGCACGAGGGGGAAGCTTCACCCGGCCATTGCTGGAACACCCTCGTGTCTTCAGGGATCTGTGCAATTCGCGGCTGGCGCGTCTCATTCATAGGACCAGCCGTCTCGTTGATAACTGTGGCCCAGTCGACATAATAGTAAAGCATATCCCGAAGCACTCGGACCATTGTCATCAGCGCCGTGAAACTTCTACCCCTCCGATCCTGTTTTGTTTACTTGTGCTTCCGCATCTTTTCTTCAACATACGTCTCGTGCCACGGTCAGGAGCCAGATGACCCCTATCTGTCTGACGAGGTTGTATCATTCGTCGAACTCCTGAAGGTCGAGGAATGTTTCCCTACTCCCCCGCCCAAAGCCATCATTCCTCCTGTGCATCACAGTCACCGACTGCTTCTCCGACCAGAACCGGCAATGCTTGCCTGGCATGCAAGAAGAGGAAGACAAAGGTAGCCTGTTCTCCCAGAGGCGATGGTTGAGGGCTTGTACTGAACGCCACTCTAGTGTACTGGGCAACCGGGACCTTGTGCGAACTGCAGCAGAACAGGAACTTATTGTCACTTCGATATGAAGCTAGATGGTCGACGCAAGCACGCCTATGAAGCAGCTGAAATCCAATATCGACAACAGTTCATCCTCGACGCCCTCCTTCGGAGCATCAAGTACAACGACATTACACTCGTCCAAGGACTCGTTGAGGCTATACGAGACGGGAGGCCGTTGCTTGAAATCGCCCATCTTTTCCAAGACAACATCAAATCTTTGCAACACAAGATGCTGGCACATGATCAGAAAATTACCATATCGGATTTGATTTCACTTTCGTTGACCTGTTTGTCCGACTCGGACTTTCGTCCTCACGGCAACAGCAAGTTGTCGTCTATTCAGCAGCAGCACCACCGCGAGTCCCGCCCGAAGGCCCCTTCCTTCGAACGTGCAGAAGACATGATTTATCATGGTCGCGCGTCTGCTAAACTTATTCCCAAAGAGCAATTAGGGGCGGTTGATGCCGCCAGCACACCCCGTCACATTCCTTCTGCCTCGGCAAAAAGACGTCGCCTGAAAGCGGCCTCCAAGATTGCCCGCAGCACTCTTCGAGTCTCAAGCCCAGAGGTTTCTTCTGCTCCTCGTCACTGTGACCCTCCACCTGTACCGGGGCCGTTGAGTGCTTCTCAATGTATGTGATGGTGTCTGCTCCCGAGGACCAAAATTTTGCCCAAAACACTAACATGTACCTCACCTCAGACTTTCCAGGAGTTAGTGGTTGGCCTGTTGAAACGTGCCCATTACCGTCGCAAAGCTACCCCGACCAAGAGCAGGTGTATGTACTACCAGGACAGCCAATATTTGCACCACCCTACGATCACATACCTCAAAGGTATACTGGTCCCTGGAGCTATACCCCTAGTTTCCCAACGCCTGAAGAAAACAGTCTCCGAATGCACTATCTTGACGGGCAACTCAGCACTCCATGCCTGGACTTTTGCAATTCGTCTCCACAAGTCAGCCAGATAAGTCCGGGATATGAATTTAGTGCCAATCCACCATCGTCGCAGCAAGAGTTCCAAGGTCACGGATGCCCGGCAACTGCGGATGGGTGGCCCAACCAGACGTGGGTAGGCCACAAGTAACGATAAGATGATGTCTCAAGCTGGTGTCTCAAAAATGGGGGCGTTTCTTTTGTTTTTCGTTTCTAACGTCTCTCGCAGGGTCAGGAATGGCAAACAGGCTCAACAGGACTATTTCCATTGTTCGTCATTGTACAAGTATGGGTACATGAGTACCCCAGATAGCGTCTCTTGTAGCGTCTTGAAATCTCACAGACTACGGAATCATGTCCCCTTTCTGACCGGATTGGTGGGCTTCTTTGCTAGGCTGGCGCATTCCTTCCCTTCCGGTAGTGGGCCAATGCCGATCGATGTTCGATGTTCACACCAAAAGCGGTGGCGTTCCGTTTTCGACGCGGCACACCAGAAGGCGTGGTGACTATAACTTGTGTCATTGTTGAAAAAGGGGTGGCCCGTACAAAAGACGATAGCTAGCGGTAAGCGGTAAATGGTAGAAAAATGTACAGTACCGAGTCCGGAGTAGGAATCCCGGACTTACCAGGCTAGTGAGGCTCCCAACGTTCCCCAACGTGGCAACGTTTTGACCACGCGTGGGCCGTTGAGTCTCGTGGAGTGAAAAAAGTTTCGAATCTGAAACCCATCCGGGAGAGGGCCGAGGAGGGGTGTTTTCGCCGCCGTCGAAGACGCCGTCTCGCAAAACTGAGGTAATAATCGTACCCTTTGAGTCTGTACTTGTAGGGGTTCTGGCCACTAGCCCTGGCAACGAGGTTCTCACTGGCACCGGGGGTGACTTTTCGGGGGGGGAAGGGAAGGGAGGGGGGCCCCCATTTGACAATGGTCCCGGCAAAGTCGGGCCATGAGATAGTCTACCAAGGTGTTATGGCAAAGGGGAAGTGATCATTGATGATTTGCCTCGAGAGACTACCTACTTGGAGGTATTTACTGGGCACTCACAAGTCTGGAAATCCTTCAGTTGTCTCCAAAAGAACGGAACCATGCCGATGTTGCCCCATCCGAAATGCCGGAAGGCGAATATATCCAGATAGAACCAGCCATAGGCAGATAAGATAGATCCCGTGGCAATAGCGTCGATTTGGAGGAAGCCCGCCGGTGTCAAATCATGTAAGTACATGTACTCGCCTCTTTGATCTTGATTCTATGCATGAAATCGTCCAAAGTACTCTCTTTCGCCGATCGATCAAGGCCGACTTTTGTTTGACTTTGGCCCTTCTTCCACGGGCAATTTCTGTGAATGCCATCACTGGATCAGATTTTTTAGTTCCATCTGAAGGTACGATCCGGATCAAAAAGCCTAGTGCTGGTGTTGGCGCTGGTGCTGGTACTGGTACTGGCGTTGGTGCTGGCGCTGGTGTTGGTGCGTGTCCTCGTGCTAGCTGCTCGTTTTTGGTCATGGCGGTTGATCCTGACCGTCAAAATGACATACCTGACAATTCCTCGGAGGAGCAATATGGATATTCGCCTTGTTGGCTGTGCGAGACCTTGCGCTGGTGAAGATGCTTGTTCACCACTCTCTGACTTCAAAAGAGCCATGGCACAATTCGTCAGAAAGAAAGACTTGCCACGCAATTTCACCTGCAGAAAAAAAAAACCACCTTCAGCTCTTCTGATCCAAGACACACCCTCATTCCAACCCTCAAGGATCTTTTCGGCGCAGTAAGGAAGCGGGGGGGTTTCGCCATGGACCATGTGAAAATAAACTCTCTACTTTAGGTCAGCAGGGATCATGATGCGACTTGAGGGGGGGAACAGGGCCTTCAAGGGTACCAGGGGGGGCCACAGCTGGTGACTGCACGGCGCTGCACTGCAAACGCATGGCACCCAGAGCAGACACCAACGTGGGATCCCTGGAGAAGATCGAGCTGAACTTTGACTGTTGCAGCACTCTCGTATTTGTGTCTGCATCGGAGCCGAGACTAACTAACTAGAACTCCCATTCCCACCAAAGAACACGAGGGACTAGTTAATTCGCTATCATTACCACGAGTTACCGGTACGCAAGCGAACTTGGGGTATCACCCAGACAGCCCGGCATCTTGTCCCTATTTGTGGAAAGTTGGCTATACCTCGTAACTGGTGCCCCTGAGATGTGCGACTTTACACACCTCTACACACCTGTACCGAGGCAAGTCTTAAGACTACGAGTACAATACTAACTAGCTAACATATGTACCTAGCTAAACTCACCACCTGGTATACCAAGCCTTGCGCCGTGCTCTCTCCACACCCCTCCCCTCCTCATTCAACCTCCTGCTTCCTGCTCCCCGCTCTCCCGCTGAGCCGTAACTGGTGGGTGGTCAGTCGATGGTCCATAAGCCATGCCCTCAGTCATAGCTTGTAGCAAGTCAAATGTACAGGATGCTATTTCCCCTTCAACTAACTTGTACCAAGGCGGAGTTTTTGACGTAAAAAAGGACCTTAGGCTACCCCGGGAAGGTCCTTTTGCGGAGTGAGTGACTCGTGCCGCGTGCTGCGACGTGGCGTCGTGAACCCGTGGGCCCTTCGCCTGTATTGTGCCACACACGGGCCATATGATTTGTCTCCATCTCGGTTTGGCGCTTGTGGGTACGAAGTTCAGCAGTAAGGGGGAGTATGCGCACACATGGCCCATGGACTTGATGGACTTGATGGCCTGAATGGCCTGCTGGATCCGTGATCCTTGTACTCGAAAGGAACAGTTAGTTTGGGTTTTGGTACGTAATGGGAATTCTTTGTCCAGCCACGCTCGTTGGGTGGTCGGAAATCGTGTCGACTCTTTCATCAAATCAACGTGAGACAGAACGACCTATTCTTTTTTTTGACCGGGGTGTGTGTTGTTCCCCTTCTAGTCTTTCCCTGGATGCCGTCGACGCATTTCCCCCCCGCCCCGAGGGTGCCCGGGAAGACACAGTCTCGAATAGAGACAGACTCCCCCTGGTCCATGTTTGGAAGGATGGGCTTGAGGCCCAACTCGAGAGGACGAAAAGGGGAAACGAAGAAGATGGCATGATCATCATCACCTCTACCCATCTTGTTACCTTGGCAAGGACAGAGTACGAGTGCCGCCATGCAGAGGAGAGCAGCAACTGCAGGACCCCCTCAAACGCCACCTTGCAAGTCGGTCGTCAGAATCCCGTAGGTGTGGACTACCAGTTACCCAAGGTAGGTAGGTAGGTAAGTAGGTGGTAGTGGTATTAGCATCATATGTCACCACGGGGGATAGACAATGGGATCGAAAAGCCTATAGATACCCCAAAAACTATCACTCGTAGAGGATGGTGAATGACCCCGCTGTGATCGGGGACTTTTGGATCGTGAAAATGTCAAAATCTGTAGATACAATAGATACCTTTTTACCTCAGATACTCATCGCCATGGCCATGGCAAAGGCTACTGAACGCAGTAACGAAAGAGATGGCGAATCGAGAGTTTTCCCCATCCGCGACCATTGAGTTTCATCGTGAGTCTAGTTAGTAGAGGTATCTGGGCATCTCAAGGTATCTCTGATCACTCCACCGGTCATCTGTACAGGGCGTGGAAACTCAATTTCAGCCTACCGTGCCACCGAGTACTCTGTCTAGTGACTGTACTCGTACACGCTGCCTCTTGATTGTTGGCACTCCTCAACAAGTCTTCCTTCACTCACCTCCTCCCATATGGCATTCCCCCGGGAGGGCGGGGGGGGGGAGGGATGTTTCTTCATTTTCTTTCCCCCGTCCACGGAAATTCAACCTCAATCTCCCAACTCTGATAGCCTGGGGAGTTATCGTACAGATATGTAGGTGTCCGATTCTGGAATCTCCGGGTATACTTCTTCTCACTGGTCTACGGGCACTCGTACCCGCCGGGGCGTCAAATTTACCAAGGTGGGTATCCGAGAAGACAATCAAAGTACGAGTACCAGAGCAAAAAAAGTCATCCGAGACCTACATACATACCTAACGTCCTCTGGTCACTCGTACTCCCGTACTCTGTCCTCACCATCACGACGGCAAAGGACTACACGGCGATCCCCAACTACTCCGTCACTTCACTCCATCACAATTACATATTGTACACTCCGTAAATGACGTGGTACAGTACTTCAGGTTGACTGGGAAGTTGATATCCCTCGAAAGGAATGGATCAAGTTACTCCGTTATCGATTCTCGCGTTATGACGGCGCCAGGGTTTCTTAATTAGGGCAAAGGCTAAAAGAAAGACCTTTGTTTCACCCCCCTGTCCTTGTCCATGTCCCCCCTCCCCCATGTCCCGTGTTCCTGTGCCCTGTACCCTGCACCTGGACCCGGTCCTGGTCACTAATCATTACTGTACGCTTGATACCGCATTCGTGCCTGCCATGACTCAAGGGATTGTCCCGATCCACCAGGTGGAAAGGCGTGGGGAAACAAAGGTCAAAGTCAGCTAGCGAGCTGGGCCACCAAAACTGTACAGTACTACAGTCTACGATAATCGTACTGAGTGCACCGGGGCTGAACATGCTTCAAACGCTGACGCCGGTGCTGGTGCTGGTGCTGTTGCTGCCTGTCGCACACCCGTGGTGGTGGAGCAGCGTGGTCTGAGCTCTAGAGTTCTTTCAATCTCAATCTTATCTCAACCTCAGTAGTTTGATAAGAGTCGGGACAATAATCGCGGTAGCACGAGGGTTACTAGTTAACCGGTCCTCCCTCGTAGACTGTGACTGACTGTACTGTACGGTAGATCTACGGATACTCGGGCCCATTGGTAGATCGAATCTCTACTCAGGCCGGAGACGATTTCCCTGACCTCGCTTCGACTCGCTTCGTGTCGCTTCTCTTTGCCCGCGACAGCCATCCACCGACCTCCACATCCACACGCACGTTCTACGTAGCTCACTTGCATCTTGCATCTGCCATCGCCTGTGCCAAAAAAAAAAGACGGCGTTAAATTACATTCAATCTACACCGACACTCCGATTCCATGCAGACAGGGTCAGGCTCACAAGAATGACAGCCTGCCACGGTACTATGTACGTAAAACAACAAAGACGTGCGTGCGTGCGTGTTTGTGTTGTCCCAAAAAGTGTGGACTTGGGTTTTTTTTGGACATGGAACACCCAGTATTGCATTTCGCTTCCAACCTCCCTCTTGACCCCTCCTTTCAGCCCCCCTCGCTTCAGCCCTCTCCTCTGCAGTCTTTCTACCTTGGTGAGCGCCGGACTTCGTATCTACTTACTTGGCACTCCTCAGCCACGGAAGAATAGGGCGGCGAGGCCATAACCCAAGGTAAGGTAAGGTATCCCTGTCTTCGCGCAATCAACCATCCCCCCACCTCCCCTCCAAAATACGAGCAATCGCAGTCTCTCCGCAAGTCAGCAGCATGTGATTCTCGCGTGATGACTACCATGTCTCTGCATGCGCGTACGCGAACATGAACTGCAAAAGAGGGGAAAGTGGACTGGATGGAAACGTCGTCAAGAAGAAAGGATTAAGAGAGCAAGAAATGACCGTGGCCATCTCCGCAGTGAGAATCCATAACTATTCCATGCAGAATACAGAGGTCGACAGCTAAGTATGCTCATGTCAAGTCAATATCGAACATGAATACCCTATCCCTACTACCATTGCTTATACCAATACCCATATCATATCGATCCCCATCTCCATCTCCATACCCATACTCGTCCTTATGCTAAGCATGGATAATCCGTACCAAGTACTCGTACTGCTACCACATGCAAGTAAGCAGACACCAAATCCCAAGAGGTCTATGGCTGGTCCTTTCAATAAACACACACACACACACACACACACACACAATGTAACCTCTCCACACCTGAAAATACACGTGAACTATGCATTGCTCCAGCCTTTGTTGATACAGGAACAATACCACCGTCTCAGTCACTGACTCAGAGTTCTCAATTGACCTTCAAAAATTCAGCGGTCCCTTTATCTCCACGGGCAATTGAAAAGTGAAAAGAGGCTCGCCTTGTGGTTCTGGTACTGGCAGGTTACCTGCCATATAGTATCGGGTCCTCACGTATGGCGTCAGCTCAGGAACTGTCCACTCCACCTGAGATGAGGTAGTCATTCCATTGACTGCAGTCGTGGGCACGGCCCGCTTGTCGTTCTGTTCTGCCAGTTGTTCGGCTGCATCTCGTTGCTCCTTTGTTGCTCGGGCATATGAATCAATTATCCTCACACGCTCACAGAACGTTTCGCGAGTGGCCTCGCTGATCGTGAATCTGTGAACAACACTTGATGCCGGCCCGTAATGCTTCTCACTCTCATGGTATCGAGAAGGCAATGCATACCTGGTAATTGTCAAACTGTTTGATCCTGGCTGCGTCTCCATCAAGTGCGAAGAGTCCTCCACTTTCGAAGCTGGCGAAGAGATTTTATCGTCGGGTTTCTAGCCCTTGACTAACCCTTCGCGATATCGCGCAATATCCTTGCTCTTCTTATTCCACATCTTCTCAAGTTTTTCCATGTCCTTCTTCGCTTGCTCTAGCTCCTTTTGTTTCTCGACCACACGTCGTTGAAGCGAATCTTGGTCCAGAACGCGAAGATTAACAGCAACGTTGGACGTACTACTTTGCCCCGGGCCTCCATGTCCAGTTCCGCCAGCATTGTTATCTGTTCGCGACGCCGATGAGGGTTGTGGAGCAGATGTGCCAGGCATTCTAAGTGGTGCTGTAGTCTTGGAGTGCGGTCCCAGTCCTGGGAGAGAGGTGAACCTTCCACTGGCCGGGCGTGGTGGATTGTCCCACGCACCAGGCATAGTGACATGGTCTCGAAATCCGCCTTCGGGATCATCTTCGAGTCCTTCATCATCAAAGACCTCTTCGTCGTCTTCACTAAAGCCGAGCTCGCCATCAAACTCGTCGTCTTCGCCGTCATATGGTTCGAATTCATCATCTTCACCCAAATCACCTTCGCCTTCACCCATGACCCATACTATTCCATGTCGTTCTCCATGTCGGCTAAGTCGGTCCAGACCACCTCCAAGGTTGGTGAAGTCGTTCGGTTCCAGAACGCCGAGTCCGGTCATGGTGCCCACGTCACCGAACTCTGCCATGTACATCTGTCGACGCTCCTCGAGCTCAACAAGCTTGGCCTCCTCATCCGCGGAGAGATGTCGGAGGACCCACCCATTCGGTGCCACAAAGCATCGCTTCAATATATCATTGGCCCGGTCGCCAGCATCAGCGACACTGACCGCTTGACTGTCTCGAAGAGACTGTTTCTCCTTGATAGGCAAGTAGACATACCCGAAGGCCGAAGTCGCACTGTGGCCAGTCGCATCCAGATATTCTTGTCCACGGCGATTGTCAGGTGGCAACTTGTACGTTGCTGTGTTGAAGTTTTGAGGATTTAGCCATGGATGATCTTTAGAGAGATCCCCGGACTGAATCAAAGATTGAATTATCTTTGGCATTGGCGAGACATGTTCACCTAGCAATTTCTGTACGGTCCCAGTGCTGTCCGCGTGTTCTGCAGCTTTCCCTGCTTCATTGTACAGATCACGGAGAGTATAAGGCTTTTGTACAACCTCTTCCAATTTTGGCGCAGGCTCTTCTTGAGGCGTCGAAGGTGCAGGAGAAGGGATGGCTTTTTCTACCTTTGCGGCGTGGTTGCTTTTCTCCTTCTCCTGTGTTTGGAGTGGTGCCTTTTTATTGACAGTCTCTGCTTTCGCCTTTTCGACGGGCTCTTGCTGTTTCGGGATCTTTGTCTCGGCTACGCTGGCTGCTGTATTGTTTTCAACCTTTTTCTTCTGCTTCTTCTGTCTAGCAATGACAGGGGCAACTTCTTCAACAACTGGAGTTGTGGAGGTGGTTGCGGACTCGGTGGTTTCAGATACCTTCTTAGCCTTCTCTTTGCGATCCTTTTTCTGCTGAGCCTTGGTCTTGTTCCGTTCGGGCGCTGAGCCAACAATGCTAGGAGGTGGACTGCTCGCTCGCGAAGCGTCATGGGATAGTCTTTCTGATATTGCAGGGGTCGATGGTCTACTGTGCTGGACTGAAGACAGCGACGGTCGTCTGGAGCCTTTCTTCCCCGCTGAGATTGGAGGGAAGCCACCCGCTTTTTCCATGGCCAATGATGCTGGAATTTGCTCAGAAATTTTCGACGTCGAACCTGTGGTCAGTCGCAACGTCCTAGGTCTTGACACTGACTGTTTGGATGCCTCCGAAGGCGTTGTGGCAACCGGTGTAGAGGCCCGAGGGCTCATCGTCCCCGGTGTTCCTATGACGCTCGAATCTATTGTTGGGGTCGAAGACTTTTCGGGAGCAGAGCTCGGGGCATGGATACCTGTTGCAGGGCCAGCCGGGGAAGGGGGAATTTCAATCTTTCCTGGTTTCTCACTGCTGTCCTTTCCCTTGCCCTTCGTGGTGGGCGACTTGGAAGGGGATTCATCATGCTTTGCCAGCTTTTCTTCGGCCTTCGTAGATAAGTCAGCCGATTGACTGACTGTGTTTTTGGACTGTGAGGGCCGGAGCTTGGGCGATCCTAGACTAATTTCACTAGCTTCGTTTCTCTGCTTTCGAAGGCGAACGCCTGAGTTTTCGACGTCGGTATCCTTTTTATCCTCCCTGGGGGTCTCGGAGCGCTTTGTTTGAGGCGTACTTGGACGGGGACCTAGTGGAACCAGAGGGACAGCAGGAGCAATGGCTCCCGAGGCTCTGGAGACACTCCTTTCAGCAGGAGTCTGTGGACCGAAAGGTGATTCATGCCGTGAAAATGGCGGGTGGGCGTGGGACAACTCAAACCCTGGCGGAATCTTTGGAGTCGATATTCGCTCGAAGCCGGGAGGAACTTTGGGGGTAGATGATCGAACCCCAGAACCCAAGCTATGGTGAGATGAGACTCGGGAATGCAAAGGCGTTGGCTGGGTGTCCAAGCGAAGAGGCAACGGTGGAAAGTTCTTTTCGTCTACTATGGGACAAGTCAGCGACACGTCCATGAAAGAAAGAAGGAAAGAAATAAAAGCGAAGCGGTCGGCTCGGCACAACGGCGGGTATATAGGACTGGACGACACTGTCGACAGTAACGCTCTCGCAACAGGCATCTCGGCTCATCCAGCATGTCTACATGATGGTCATACAAGCCCCTGAATGAAGTGTAAGAAAATCATTTTTGATCTGCCTGACCATGTAGACTGGCCAGAGAAGGGAACTAACATACATAAAGTTGCTGTGGTCGTGACCGGAGACGATGGGGTGTCTGCTGAAAATGAAAAGGCCGTTGCTGACAGAATAGGTTGTGGTAGCATTTACAATCGCACTCGATATGACCGTAACCCCATGCTGTTGACGCCACTAAGCTTTCGCCATCCAGCTACTGACTTATGCTTTGCTCGGTGCACCGAGAAAGAAAATTGCAACCACCAACGCCAAACATAGAAACCCAAGCAAAGTAGAAAGGAAAATCCTGTCATAAATGAAGAACGTCGTGTGATCACCATCGAGAATACCCGCTGCTGCCGCCGCCGCCGCTGCCGCCGTACACGACGCTTGTCTGCTGGTACCCACCTTGTTGACCTCCAAAAAGCCCCTGCCCTGTGGTGTTGCCCTGGTGCATGCGAGTGGAGACTATGCTCGGGTCTGCAAGATGCTCTACACCGCCTCCTGAAGAGGAAGTGTTAGCATGTCTGTGCTTCTTCCCCTTCTTCCTCTGCTTTACAAGACCAGGGTCTTGGTATGCTCCTTGATATTGACCATACAGCTGGTTTAGGACGCCAGGGGCAGGGGCTGGTAATGGAGGTGAACGAAGGGGATTGTTTTGCAAAGAAAGGAGTAACTCACGCTTAGAAATCTCATGACCCTGATTTGTCCCACTTCTATTCCTCGCATAAACCTCAGCATTTGTGTCTTTAGAAGCACCGAAACCCGGGTTCGTGAAGTTTTGGCCATGCGCGAACATGCCGCCACCGCTCACCGGAGGGGTTCCAGCAGTAGGCAGGCCAGGAGGTGGTCCCTGAACACCACTCGAATAGAAGGAGGACTGGGTCGATTGAAATCGGTTGGCGTTGCTGGTCTTGGCATCGTTGTTGAAGTACCGTGAACCATGGCGCTGATGATTGCTAATCTGTTCATATTGAGCTTGACTGTATTGAGGACCACGTCTGTCAAAGTCGGACATCTCGAAAGCAGTGTTTTGACCAAGGCCTGGGGCCTGACTGCCACCAGCGTTCAGAAAAGCAAGTTGCTGTCGTTGTTGAGGGGTTAGACTGCGGGCATTATCGGACGTTTGAGATGGACGACCGATTGCGCCACGGGCCGAAGAACTTCTAGGATCGTCTTCAGGTTCACCTCCCAGCGCGAGGCTCCCGGCTACCATGTTGTCCTCATCGAGGGCATCTTCGGCCGTTGACGTGGCCTGAGCCTCAAGCTTGGCCTTTGCTTCGGTTTCATGCTTCAAACGTTCAAGCTCTTCTCTTTCGCGCATTGCCCGGCGTTTGAGTCCACCATAGGGGTCAATGAAAGGTGGCATGTCAGCAACAGCAGCTCGAACTTCTGGGCTGAGGCAAGAGTCGTCGTAATTGAAAGCTGCATATGGGGATATACTTCGCAAGACTGACTCGAAATGTTCTTGAATTGGATCGACTGGTTTGGGTTTTGGTTTCGAAGTAGGTGGTGAGGTCTTGGTGGGCACTTTCTTGACGGATGTGGCCTGTGATGGTTGGCTTGTAGCCTCTTTCGTCTTGGGCTCGTCGGCTTTCTGAATGGCTGGAGTAGCGTGGACCATCTGAGGACTTGGGGTAGCACGGCTATTTGCTTGACTTGCTCGTCTCGTTCGAGCCACAGGAGCATTGGCATTGGCCCAACTTGCCGTGGACGGAAGTGCCGAACCATCGTGACTGTCCTTTCTACTATTTTCGTCGTCTTTGCTACTCTGCCGTACCATAGGTTGAGTGACTTGAGCAGCAGATAACGGTCTTGCAGGGGGGACCACTTGGCTGGACGTTGGTCTAACTTTCACGCCATGCGACTCGTTCTGCAAGGAGCTGTTTTGGCCATCTTCTCCAGTCTCGTGCAAGAAGCTGCAGTTTTTGTTGTTGCAAACCTCGCCGCGCAGGAAAGCGGAACAATATTTCGTGGTTCCAAACTGAGCCCGCAGGACCCGATCACCGTTGAGAGAGCCATCAACACTGTTTATGCATGTCGCCGCATCTTCTTTACGTGCATATGTGACGTAGACACCAATGCCCTGGCTGGTCACTCCTGGTTTTGGCTTGCTGACAACAATCTTTTCGATCTCGCCGTACTGACCGAAATAGTCTGGACCACGTAACGTCTGCAGAAGAGACTGCTCGTCCTTGACCGATGGTATCAGACCAATGACATAGACGAGGTTTTGTTGTTTGACTCGAACACCAGCTAGGTTCCGTCGTACGGAAGTCTCGATCTCGCGTTTCTCGGTTTCTTTCCGTTTAGCAGCTGCCTGCTTCTTGTTTTTGTTCAACTGGTCAAGCTTGAACTCCTCTGCCGTAGGGATCTTGTATTGGATCGTCTTTTCATCGTACGGCCGTCGGCAGTTGGGGCAGGTGCTCTTATCGTTCAGGACTTTCAAACTATTGAAACAGAACTGGCATATCTAAAGAGGGGGTTAGCCATGGGATTACGAGGAACAGCATCAAGGACGTACCTGGTAGCCGCAAGGACACGGTCTGAAATTCTTGTCGGAAAGATCAAACTCTTCGATACATAAAGGGCTGTAAAGATGTCAGAATTCGGACTTCAGCCGTCGACTGCAAAGCCTGACTTACCATGTCTCTTCGTCATCATCGATGACAGTATCCTGCGATCGACTCATATCGGTGAATATGATGATATTCTGATAATGTGAACCGCCTCTTTCGACTCCAGCACCACACGTCGTAGATGAAGAATGTTCTCCATGCACTGTTTAGTAGTCTGGATTGCTGGCCACAACGCGTGGAGAGTTATTACTCGTCCGGTAAGGAATGCAAGGCGATGGATTTGGGATACTCGTGGACGAATCTTTTGGATGAAAAGGCGATTTGCTGAAAACGTTCCTGGTGAGGCGAGATTGCAGATGCTTAGAATGTTCTTTCCGCACCCGCAAGGTGACGAGACCGTCCTAAGCCCAAAGAAGACTAGTGTTGTAGCGTTCTTGGCTGCGCTCGAGAAGCTTCATGACCTCAAGAGAGGCTTCACGTCGTCTCCGAGGCAGATGAGGTAGACCAGGCGCACAATATGGCTTCGACAAAGACAATGTTGCGCCTGGCAAGCAAGAGGCCGCTCATTGGAGCTCATCAATCGGCCAAATGCGTTCAGCGCGTGTCCATCTCTCAATCGGCCAGGTTATGCGCGGAAAAGAACAGTGAGCAGAAGCTGCGAGAGGCACCTGCAGATCTGCTCTCAGAACTGCGAAAAGCTCCCAGACCGCGTGAGTTGTCCTTGTCTATCGAATGCTTCAGGGTCACTGACTGAATGTATAGCAATGGGTAAGCTGTCTGCTCCCATCGTCAACGACGCCGACAAGTATGCCGATAAAGCACTGCCACTGCACCAATATGGACAATATCTCATGTCTTGCCTTCCGAAGTACATCCAGCAATTTTCTGTATGGAAGGACGAACTCTGCATCTACATTACCCCCACTGGTGTGATCCCAGTTTTCTCGTTTCTGAAAAACCACACAGCCGCGGAGTACACCATGGTCAGCGATATTACTGCAGTCGACTTTCCCACCAAATCCAACCGATTCGAAGTCGTCTATAACCTCCTCAGTGTCCGCCACAACTCGAGAATAAGAGTGAAGACATATGCCGACGAGGCAACTCCCGTTCCTTCCATCACTAGCCTCTACGATGGCGCAAACTGGTACGAGCGGGAAGTTTACGACTTGTTTGGTGTCTTCTTCACTGGTCACCCTGATTTGAGAAGAATCATGACTGATTATGGCTTTGATGGACATCCGTTACGAAAGGATTTCCCCTTGACTGGATACACCGAGATTAGATACGACGAGGAAAAGAAGAGAATCGTGGTTGAACCACTTGAGATGACGCAAGCATATCGTAACTTCGAGGGTGGCACAAGCGCTTGGGAACAGGTCGGCCCTGGCGAGGACCGGACACCAGAGCAATTCAAGCTACCCACTCCCAAGCCAGAGGAAAAGAAAGAGGAGAAGAAATAGAAGCAAGTCGGATCCCGCCAGCGTCAAAAAGGAGCTGGCACAAAGACTAAAATGGCCTTGTACATACGAATGGAGTAACCTGATTCGAATAGTGAGAAGCATTTCTGCTATTTCAAGCTGATGAAGTAATTCAGGCTCTAGTGCTTGACCTCTGGTCGAGGGTAGACGTGAACCCGTTATGCTGAACTCAGTTGGAATGCTTTCTTGATCAGAGGAATGAGTGTACTGGCTTTGGAAATACCGTCATGAATCAAGTCGCGATACCGTTGAAATTACAATCCTCGTGGATGTGAAGCGATGTCGATAGATCGATTGTGGTCTGGTTGAATGACGCGCGGCATTTGACCCGCGTGCAGTAATGACCATCTTTTATACCGACTGGCTGATAGGCACAAGGCGTCATCATCATTCTCCCACACGCCTCTGAAATCTACCGACGTCGCAACAATCATCGTAGCTGACTGCTTCCCCAGATTTACCAGCCATGGCAACCTCGTCTGCGTCGCCCAAGCCCAACGTGGGGATCTTGTCCATCGGCGACATGGGTGTTGGTATAGCCCGGCTTCTCCGCCACCATCACTACAAAGTCTACACCGTCGGGGCAGGTCGAAGGTAGGCTGGAGTCTTGCCAAAATTTGCATGGCGGAAATCATTGACAATGAGTGTGCCTCATCATAGCCAACATACTCTCAACCGTATAAAGTCGGCACAGATCAAGGCGCTTGATTCAGACGAAGCACTCGTCGCCGAGTCCGATATCATCCTGAGCATCGTGCCTCCACGAGACGCAGTCGCCACGGCCCAGAGAGCACACCAAGCATGCAACGCTCACGCAGCCATCAAGCGTAGACAGGAAAGGACTGGGATCGCTCGGAAGCTGACCTTCATTGACCTCAACGCCATCAGCCCTCGCACCACCAAATCCATCGGCGCGTTGTTCAGTAGTCCGCAGCTTCCATCGTCGCCAGGAGTTCAAGGCATCACACGATCATTCAGCTTTCATCGTTCGGACTCTGAACCTGAGCTACCGCCTATTGAAATCGACTTTTTCGACGGCGGCATCATTGGCGGCCCGCCGTCGCTTCGCGAAGACCAGACGTGGAAACGTCCGTCGATCGTGTTATCTGGGCCTCGACTTTCCGAGGTTCTTCCTTCCGAGTTTACCGAGCTCCTAAACGTTCGTGTTGTTGGGAACACAATAGGACCGGCCTCGGCACTCAAGGCATGCTTTGCGAGCCTGAGTAAAGGCATGATCGCTCTGAGTATCCTGTCCTTCACCACTGCTCATCAAGCCGGGGTTCTCCCTGCGTTGGAAGAGCATCTGAAAGAATTCAATCCAGGGGCGCTTGCTGCCGCCAAAAGTGGACTCACGGGTATGCCGCCCAAAGCCTACAGGTGGGTCGACGAGATGCGGCAGATCAATGAGACTTTCATGGAAGAAGGTGGGTTTGGAAAGGACGTTCTAGGCGAGACGCATGGTGTGTTTGACGGCATCGCGGAGGTCTATAAGCTCATTGCGGACGACACGGTGCTCGGGGAGGAGAGAGTTGAAAGCAGGAAGCGAGGCACAGAGGTGAGTGATGTAGTAGAGTGTATCGGGGAGGGAATCAAGGCGAAGAAGAGGAAGATCGCCGGTGAGGACTGGAGAAGAAACTGGGCATGAACACAGGCTTTGATATTGGGAAAGAGGAGCAGTCTAAAGTTCTAGTAGGTGTTGGGTAGTGCGGCGTGCTGTATGCTGTATGAAATCACTCAAGGACCCGAAACTGAGCAACATCGATTTGTTCATTGTTCAAGTGCTTTGTACATGCAGTGTCTATTGTCCGCAACCACAGGAACCCTACCGCCTTTCAGTGTCTGCGTCTTGCTTCCACCTGTATCCGCGGGTTAAGCGGGTGTTGCTCTTACTGGAGAAGTAACTCTGAAATCTCCATCCCGTGCAGTGTCCTGGCATCCCATAAGCTTGGATTCAGCTTCGTCAGGTCTACCAGAAAATTCTGCAGTTGATCTTGAGAGATGTCTGCCAGATGATACCCATCAACGAGGGCGAAGAAGTCTGCTTACATCCGAAGCGAAAGATGTCCAAGACATAAGTTCCTGATGTTGACGATGCTCGCGTGCGAACATCCAGTGACTATGACGAATCCTTTGGCCTGCAGTTGACAGACCACTACCCCTTCATCCCTGATCTCTTCGTCTCTGATTCACATGCCCTCTTCTTGCCCTATCTCTCGGTCGAAGTACGCCACCCTGCATCCCAGTTTCATAAGATGTTGGCAGGGGCATCGGACCCGTCACGAGCAAAGAAGCCGTCGATGATGACGACGTGGGTCAGATCATATGGAATTCTGTCCAAGTCGGTTCTGCGCGATGAAACTTCAACGGCACTCGGGCGGAAACCCTGGTTGCTAAACATCACAGATTTCACTGTTGGGAAGGAGAGATCTGGTCAATCTCGTCGTTGACGATTGCCAGGACAGTCAGAGAATGGAACTCAAGCAAATAAACTCCATGTTGAATAACAGGGCCGGGTAGAGCTCTGCTTGTTTACTACTTGATCATCTTCAATCAAATCGATCTTCGATGTATATGCAGTCCACCCATCGCCTGAGCAAGTTATGACAAAGGTGCAAGCATGGTAGGGGTATTCGTCGTACTGATGCAGCAGATATTCGCGTTTCTGTGTGCGGTGTGTTTATTAGAATTGAAGAAGTATTGGCTAAACGTCAAAGAATCACTATTGTAGTATCTCCCTTCTCACTACGTCCCGAGATAAGAATAATAAACTTTTGAAATCCACCGTCATGATTGAGGTTTAACACATTTCAAATCCGACAGGTTGGTTTCTTCATTCCAATTACCAGTACACGACATTCAAGATCAGCGAATTTCCATGTTGAAATTCCTCCAACCTGAAAGAAAACTACATAGGTACTAATTCAACATCCCTGACATATGGCAACGAGAACGACCATGAGTACGCATTGCTACCACGAGGGCAACACTATCAACAACCACAACAACGAATGACATCTTTTATCGCTATCCACCATCATCAAAACTTCAAACCCAAAGGATTGGCAGCAGCCACGTAGTTGGTACGCGGTGCACTAGTCTTCTTCGATTGCGAGGGCTTAATAGGAGTCGACTTCTGCACAGAAACAGGCTTCTTCGCTGCTGCATTCATGCTTGCTTTCTTTGCATTTCCCATCGTATTGTTCTCAGCAGGCTTCTTCCTAAATGCACCTGGGTTAGGTGCTGTTGATGTTTTGTTGGTTGACGGTGGCGGCACGGAGACACCGGCCTTCTTCACGGGCGCCGCACCATTCGTGGTAACCTTCTTTGCTGCACCAGGTGGTTTTGGACCAGGACCAGGAGCAGGAAGAGCCTTCTTGGGAGTCCCTGCCTCGATCTTCTTCTGAGGCTGCGCTGACTTGTTTGTCGTCATCAACGTCTTGGATGGTGACGGCTTCGGAGGCGTGTACAGTGTCGGATGCGTCACGGTTCGCTTACCACCAGTCTTACCAGCACTTAGCCCAAGGGGGTTGTTCGCCGTCGTTGCACGTACTCCATCAGCTGCTGTCCAGTCCATGATGGCATTGCCATAGTCCTTTGCTCCGTCTCCATAACGTCTGATTGAATTGTTGATCCCCTCTCCTATGCCGTTGATGCTGTTTCCGACTGCACTCACTGCACCTCCTGCAAAAGCACCAGCGGTGGCCACGGTCCCTGACACTGTCGGAGCAAGTGCCTCGGACACTTTGCCCAACACCCACTGCGTTGCCATTATGCTGCTGCTTGGGTAGTCGTGGAGGACTTGCGAGGACCAAGCTTAGGTGGCTTTCGTCTGGCCTTCTCACTCGTCTGGGAGACTGCGTCAGTGTTGTCAACTGCCTTTTCAGGGAGTTGTCTGCGAGGAGCGAGTGATTGACGAGTCGAGGTTAACTTCTCGCGTGGTGGTGGGCGTGGGGTGCCGCTATGGTCTTCTGGCTGAGGCTTGGGCGGAAGTTTTGGGGCAGTTCGGACTTTCCACTCTGGCTTGGCCTTGGGAGCAGTATGTCCTCGAGTGGCGGTGATGTTGATAAAGTCCTTGTCAAAAAAAATATCAAAAGATACGTTAGGCATTGGGACAAAAGGGGGGTGACTCGCTCAGTCTTGAGATGTGACTGAGCTTTGAACGTGGCGAGGTTGATTCGAGGTGAAATAAGAAGAGCCAGGGCAAAAAAGCACAAAGGGGGGAAACTGATCACAAATACTAGTAAGAATGCAGACTCTCGATCTTCATATCTCGACAGGGTTCTCTTTCGATCTGTAGGACAGAGACAGACCAAGAGGTCGACGAGGGAGTGATTGATATCGACGGCCCAGGCTACTATAAGCGGGGAGGAACGTCATCCGGGGTCCAGTTGATCCGCACCGCCACAGGGTTGACATGATATTATCCTGTTTTCATGTCTTTCGCACCCAAACATCCTTGTCGCTACGCTGGTCTGGCCCAAAAAACACTAGGGTCCCTTACAATCGCCTCCAGCGGCCACATTATGATCGCCTGATGATGCCTGCATCAAGCGATGAAGCAAGGATTGCAGAGGCGGACTCTGATCCCATTTGCCTGTCACACTCAACCCGAACTGCTCCTCTTACAACGCCACATTGATCCTTGAATTCTATCACTATCCTGGGAAGCAAGGTGACGTACGAGGACTTGAGCGATAGTAGTAAGCGCTCGTCTCTCTTCGACCTATCTCCATGGTGATGACTTTACTGTCAAGGTAGGTAGGATAGCTGAGTACCCCTGAGCATTCATTTCATGGAGTTCAATGACGGGACGCTGTCTTTTTAAAACGGTTCAATACCCACTCGACTTGACAGAATTCCAGGTGTCCCTAGGAGAAGAGATACGTCAGAGGTGGCGTTCACCAGTTCAGCCCTGTCACTCAAAAAGTGTCGGGGAATTGAATACCATTCATTGCCTGTGAAACGAGCACTCGCAAGTGACAATCTGGTAACGACGACGACGAGGTATCTGACGACAACAATGAACGATATCTGTCGACGATAATATCGTCTCGCCACTTTCTGGAGACTGGGAAAAATGGCCACAGCCAAACCAGCCCTTGAGCCTGCTGCAGGCTTCTCGCTCGAATCACGGGCAGAGCGTCCTGATCGCGTACCATTACAAAAAGGACAATATTCAATCGCATCAAGAGCGGTAGCTTTATCGACATACTTTTTATCTGGAGCACTTGCTATCAATCTCTCCCAATTTTTAGGAGCCCCCCTGGCTCTGGTCAATCAAGATTGGTACAACGCATGGATTGCCTTCACGAAGCAGTCCTTTGGGCTGCTTACAATGACTCTAACTCAGACATTTGCGCCAACGAAGGTCATTGTGTCCGGCGACGCATCTGTTCGAGGCCAACTTCTCAAGTCTGTCGACGGCGACCTTGTACTCAATTTTCCCGAGAGACTTGTTCTCATCGCGAACCATCAAATCTACACTGATTGGTTGTATTTGTGGTGGATAGCTTATTGCAACGGCATGCATGGGCGGTTGTACATCATCTTGAAGGAGTCCTTGAAAAGGATTCCAGTATTGGGATGGGGCATGCAGTTCAATCAGTTCATTTTCCTCAAGAGGAACTGGGAACAAGATCGTCCCAATATGGAAACTGCTCTTCAAAAACTCAACAAGGTCACAGATCCCATGTGGCTCCTCCTGTTCCCTGAAGGTACTAACCTTGCACCGAGTACTCGTGCGAAGAGCGCCGCATGGGCGAAGAAGAACAACATCACAGACACTCGACATGTCCTGCTACCACGCAGCACCGGCCTGCACTTCTGTCTCGAGCAACTCAAGGACTCAGTCGACTATGTATATGATTGCACGGTGGCTTACGAAGGTGTATCGCGAGGACAATTCGCTCAAGATATATTCACCCTTAAGGCGGGTTATCTCGAAGGACGACCACCAAAGTCTGTGAGCATGCATTGGCGTCGGTTTGCCGTGAAAGATATCCCACTTCACAATGACAAGGCCTTTGAACTTTGGCTTCTTGCCCGTTGGAGGGAGAAAGACGTCCTCATTGAACAGTGGTACCAGACCGGTAGATTTCCCGCAGACATGGGTGTGACCAAATATAAATCTGGTAAGACACTTCGGGGCTGTGGACACATGGATGTACCCATCCGCTCAAGCCACTGGTATGAATTTCTGCAAATATTCGCCCCCATGGGCATTCTTGCCATGGTGTTGTACATCTTCTACGGCGACCTGCCACAGCGATTCTGGAAGAGTATTAATAAAGAGGCGCTCCAATCTGGTACGGAGGATGTGAAGAGAGCAAGTGCACAAGCTGGAAAGCAAGTGAAGTCTGCGTCTACTTCGCTCAGCGGCTTGACCCTCGACTCTTTCTTCGATCCCACCCAGCAACAGGAGACGTTCAAAGCAGGTGCTCTGGCGGTTCAGAAGCTGCTCAACTCACCGTCAGCACAAACTTTGCTCAACCGTGCGGATTTCATCCAGCAATTCCTCTCGGATCCGCAGAAGATGGTCACCGAGAGCATTACCGACAGACAACAAAACTTTATGCATCAACTGGCGGAAGAGGAAGCAAGGAGGCAGCACGGTCGAACAACCAGCGTAAATGGGACCGGGAGAAAGGGGTCAAGGCCAATCATGAACGGCACAACAGGTGTCAAGGGTACGTTCTGGTCTCAGCTTGATGCTGAGGAAAAGAATCGTCAAGGTTCAGTTGTGTCAGAAACAATATCAAATCAACCGACACAAAAGGGGACATTCTGGAAGGAGCTGAAAGCAGTAGAGGAAAAGAAGAATGCTCCAGCACACAAAGGCACATTCTGGGACGACATCAAGAGAGAAGAGAATACCAGATACGGTACCGTTGTCACATTGTCCAGCAACGCTTCTACGGCTGTGGCATCGACGAGTTCAACGTCCACGAAAGGAACCGCACCAAAACTTGGCCCACGAAAGATGGCTCCTCGTACTGCCGTACCGAAGATCGCCACCGCGAAGAAATCAAATACCTCTGGTGCCGGTGCTGGCACAATGGCACAGATATCAGCATCTCCCACCAAGGCAAAGAAGCCAACAAGTACACCGGTGCGAACAACCATGCCTGCCAACGCTTTAGAGTCTAAATCGACAAACGTAGCATCATCAAAAGAAACACCGAAGCCGACATCAAATGCCAGCTCTGCACTACCCAAGCAATCGAAAGCGACCACGACACGCACGCCTCCGAAGCTCGGATCAAAACCAACACCAAAACCAAAACCCATACCTGTCTCGGAATCTAAACCGTCAGCCAGCAATGCCACTGCTACAACATCGAAGTCAGGCACTGGACTGAAAAGCAAACATTCTGCTCCTCCTCCGGGCCCAAAGCCTGCACCGAAACCTTCCAAGGTCACTCCAGCTGCAGAAAATCCTGGAGTGGCAGTGAAGAAACCGGTATCGAAACAACCATCAAATACGACGTCAGCCACAGCCGCGTCGTTGACCCCGTCAAAACAGGCGACAAAGACGAATGGGCCGCCAAAGTTGAAAAGCAAGTCTTGACACGAAGCTTTTTCGCAAGATTTCGATCTCGTTCCTCGCATGTATATCCCTTGGGGAAAAGAGGTTGCAATTTGTATCGATCTTCCTCCACTCATCTACGGTACCCTGAAGGAGAAAAAGCGGAGTATAAGCCTGTTCTCTCGCACTGTACAACAAACATTCTAATGAAGCGACGATTGAGATGATAGACATTTGCTCTGATGGTAAGATGAGGACAGGATGCTGTTCTCTCGTCAAGTATGTTCCCCCAGTGGGCCCGTGATGGGGGCCGAGTCATATATGTATACTCAGATAGTCAACAATTCTGGCGAGGACTTGCACCTCGTACTCGTAGTACGCAAGCTGCTCACGCTGCGACAATGCTGTTTTGAATTCGGACTAGATGTCTTAAGATGCCCACGTGGTCTTGCTTGTAGTATTATCGCAGGTCTGAAGTTTGTTTCTGGTTCCTGGAGGGATTTCAAGATGTCTGAATGCCCTTCGTTACTTTGATAGTTGCCCCTACTTACCTGCCTAACGGTAGGTGTGTACGGGAACTATAAGTCCATGACATGATGAGTCCCCCGAAGTCAGGGACGCTATGTCTGGGTTGTCCTCCATGTCCTCTTCATCACATGTGGTCGGCAAGTGAGGCCGAGCCGCGTATGTATGTGTGTATGTATGTATGTATGTGTGTATGTATGTATGTGTGTATGTATGTATGTGTGTATGTATGTATGTGTGTATGT